GCTATAACAGCTCTTCGCTTTCTTGTATTTTAGGAAAGAATTCTCACGGTAAAAAAATCATCCTAGATGTTATCAGTTTATCAGAAACTTGTGACAATATGCTATATCCAACCATAAAAAAAAATGCATAAGATATCACGACTAAGACCAAGAATGGGGCAAGACATACCAAATGGATTAGCTTTGCTGCACGTACACAGAAATAACAGAAATAACAGAAATACCAATATTAATGTTAAACAAATTATTGACAAATTTTCAAAAATAATTTTATGAAAAAAATTAATTGATAATGACATTTTTAACCAGAACTTGCTTCATTTGACCTTTTTAAGTATAAACTAGATCCGAATTGCTACCAAAAATTTCCCTCGAAATTGAAAACTTGTATCAGAGCTCTAATCAATAGGACAAAATAAAAGGGTATAATTTTATTTTTGCCCTCCTCCTCCCCCTCCATAAAATTAAGTTAAATACACCACTGTACTATATTATATTGAACACATAAGTACCTGTTTTCCATGTAACGTGTACGAGTGTATATTTTGCCCATAATAGTATAAAATAGAATTTAGTTTCCCGGTGTAAAGTGGTGGAAACGAATCTATATATAATATTAGCTACGGATTCGCAAGTAGGAGATGCGTTATTGGAACGCGATGGCTCGCCGCAGAATAATACAATATTATATATTTGTACATGTGTGTGTGTGTGTGTGTGTTGCACTTCCCAACTTCCGGGCGGTGGAACGCTTTCCTCTTACTCGTCGCAGCATCGCATCAGTAGTCGATTTAATTGCGCAAATTCTCCGCGGTGGAGGAGAGTTTGGAGTATATCCGCAGCCAATTTGTCAACGTGAACAGAATGCATTTCGTCGCGTGTGTATGTGTATATATATACTATATACATGTGTGTGTGTGCTTAGCCACTCGAATTCGTACCACGAATAAATCCATTTATCGTATGCGCGCGAGTCTGTACGTGTGTATATGTGTATGCACCGTATACTTAGTGCAATAGTGCTTACCACCGTCGTTTACACATATACGCATGTGTACGCACAATGGTACACGACAAGTTTATAATATATGATATATTATGTATACAGTAGACTCAGCATCAGTACTTAATTAAGTAAATATTAAACTGTAATAACTATATATTATGTGTATATTATATTATATGTTACAAAAATTATCATTTTTTTTTTTTTTTTATTACTGTATCGTACATATCTTTGGATGATAAAATTATACAGCTTTATAATTTATAGATACCCGCTATAACGTGGGTTTTGTTATTCCTATTATAATATATATGCGTTGATATAGGTTTGTCGACTAATGCACAAAGTCAGATTTGAGGAGAAGGGGTAAGTACTGTGGGCCTCGCTGGCAATTGACTTACAAAGGGCCTTAACGAAAAGCCATGAATAATAATTACTCACTTAAATTAGACGATTTATTTTTTTTTATCAAAAATAACCATATAACTTAATAATATTATTCAGCGTAATATATTTTGTTTATTAAAAATATGTTTATATTATATAGTTTTTATTTTTTGACGATAAATTCATGTATTTGCCAAAAATTCAAATAAGAAATAAACTTATGACAGATTCATGAAAATATAATCATATAAAAAGATCACGAAAATAATAAAAAATCAAAAAATAATATTTAAAAATTAATTATTATGTGTTTGTGTCAATTTTTATATTTTAAAAATTAAATACTGTTTATAAATTTTTAAGTTCTCCACACATGCCATTTTTTTATTATTTAAATATTTTTTTTAATTCAAGTTAATTTTTTTACCAAACCAAACAGTATTTTTCGGAACTATTTTCTATATTACTATTTATTACTTACAAAGGAATAAGCTATTTTGTATATTATGTATTTTAAAACTGTAGATACTACTTGATATACAAGATACGTATTAAAATATTGGCCATATTTAAATAATAATGACAATGTATTCACTGATTAACGATTTGCATTATTAAAATTAAATAAGAAGTGATTAAATCTGTTTGTTTCATACATTAAATTTTAATATCTTGAAGAATTAAAATATAATTACTAATTTTACATTATTAAGTTTAACGAATAATCGTGAATTGGGATTCATAATAATGATAAATTAATTTTTAAATTTTCACTAGACAATGGAAGTTTTGCATTTACAATTCTAAAAATAGATGCTCCCTAACGCCAAAGTCTCAACTGTTAAAATAATATTTATCAAAACTGTGAACAGAAACTTCACAAACATAAGTAAATATTTTCCTCGTAGCCTTATCAACTAAACACTGACTCACTACACTACTGTGTAATTTACTATAAATTAAAAAGTTCATATTTTACATCTTAAGACAATAATTTCCATTTATAGTGAAAAGTCCTATTACAGAAATCTTTTATTATTATTGCACACAGTCATACAAACAAGCAAACTTCGCTGGCTATATGCTTTAATCTAAACTACAAGACAGTTCCAATTCTACGTTTTGTACAATGCGTAAAGCTCCCCAATTCAGTAGAGTAGTATTTAATGAAGTTGTTATTATATCATTGGCTAAATAATAATATATTAAGTCAAAACGAATATTTCATCTACTTTTTAGAATTTTTGGAAATATCACAATATCCCATCACATATTTATATACATTAAAACTTACGATGCTGACTATTAATATAGACGATGACACATATTATAAGTGCAAGTGTAGAGTGTTGTTAAAAATATGTATTTAAATTTGCTCTACAATAATACATTCGACCGTCGTGGTATATTGATATTTACTGTAACTATATGTACACTGCTGTCATTCATAATAACATAGGTATTCGTACGCATAGTGCATTTACGCACCTTTACATAATATATACGAAACTGTATAGCTGTATAAACGATCGTATAATATAGCCCCTGGATAAATGTTTGTATTACGGAACAATACGATATAATAATAATATAATAATATTAAAGGATACACATGCACATACGTCGCTGTTACCTGCTGTAGCCCGCACGCATAATATGTAGGTACATGCGTGCACATATTATATGTGTTGGGCGTGATGAGTACGAGTGCATATATAAGGTAGGTAGTAATATATTGTATAATTCCAGCCGGATGCGTGTGGTCAGTTTGACGAGCGGTGACAGTGATTCGAGCGAGCACCTGAGAAAACACACAGTAGATATATACATATATATTATGAGTACCTTCCTGTACCTATATACACATACAACTAGGTACAATGCAGAGACTGCGCCGCGGTAGACGACTACAGGAGTCATGTCCATTTTGGATCGATCAAAAAAAAAACACCTCTCATACAGTCCCATTTGATAAATAAAATAATATCGGCGTTTGGCCCGCAATCCGATTTACTTATTCGTATAATGCATATATATTATAATAATATGGTGCATCATTGTGTCGACCACAATAAACGCGTTATGATGACGGTTTTCGCACGTATTTGAAATACGCAGTCTGTGGTTTACCCTCCTCCCCTCCACACTACCGCCCCATTAAATAAGTATATATACTTATACGTACTCACGGTTTGTACACCACCGCATGTATATATATCCTCGATACTTCAGCATAGATGAATATAACATAGTGATTTGGATGTACGCGATTATTATATATAATATAATAATATATATATATATATATATATATATAATATATATATGTGTGTGTGTGTGTGTGTGTATAGCATATTATATAGGTTTATATATTTTATGATAGGATGTACCTATATGTCTGAGCGGCGTTCGTTGTCGTCGTCGTCACCTGCGGCTGCAGAAAACCTTGCGGATTTGTCTGATGGATTACGAGTGGGTTTCATTCATTCGGAATAATAATGATGATAAAAAAATAAATACGTTTCGACGACGATTATTTTTCTTTTTTTCAACCACTCGTAAAAATATATAATAATATATAGCGCGACAAAGTTCTCACAGTCCGACAGACGTCCCCCATGCTCACAGTTCAATAATAATATTATACACTTTGCTAACCGACCACCGTCTGCAGAACTGTATAACTACGTATCATACATATTGTGTCTATACACCGCAAGTGCACACAATAATAATTTTCCTAAACGCTACTTTTTTTTTACAAGCAAATATAATATACGAATGAAGACTATAATAAACATAACACACGCACGTGATTATACACCTTTTATATACTTACTAAAGGTATATTAAACATGTCATACACCAATGCCTTCGTACTTCGCACACGTTTGTTTCCAAAGATACATTGTACGATAAGTGCCAAGTAGTACTTATATTATGCGGTATCTGTATGACTATATTTATAATCATTAGAGTTTCACACTTTCACACCTGCCTGTATTGCGCAGTATACGCAGGTTTCTAGAACATCGCGCAAATCTGTCTAAACTGAATGAAAACAGAAAACAAATTGTAAGTATAGTATTATGTTGTTGGATGATAATTTGATGGCGTATATTTAATCAAATGTCGAGCCTATGTGTGATGTTTGAAAATATCTTTAGTTATCGTTAAAAATATTACTAATAAGTAAAAAATAAAATAGTGCACATTTAATAATTGCAAATCACTCCATTTAGTGTCTGAAAAGATGTAATTACCTTTTCTGTTTCTGTAAATCCTATTGACCAGTATAGGAAGCGAATGCTATGTAATAATTAATACACCACCAATATAAATCTGTGTAACTATATCTCGTAATAGCTAACTTATTAACCTCAAAATTTTTTCTTCTACAATTTAACCTACACTGTAACTTAACATTAAATTGTAAACTATATTAATGCATCTTTTATACCTATGATCATAAACCAAATGTAAATTTTCCCATCGTTTTTATAAGACATTCGTTATTTCCATAGAAATATATCAATAATTAAATTTCACGTTTTTTTTTTTTAATCATCTATTCTATTAAACAATATTAAAAAAATTTATTTTAAAAATGACGAAAAAGTCGTACGATAAATGTTTTGAAAATATGGATACCTCGTTAAGTAAAATATTTTATCAGTAAAAAATAAAGTTGTTATAAATATTAAAATCTAAAATTAATATTAATAATAATAAATTACTATTAATTAATTGTAGTCATACTATCACAGTATTTTAGTATTAAGGTCCATTGAAAATCACTTTTTTATTACAGTTTATGTATAACATAAATTCATTTAATAATATAAAGTTAAATTACCTATAAATAGATAAATAAATAAAACTCGTTAATCGTTTAAAAACCACTAATAAATTGTTTTCAATATTTTTCTATGATTTCTTTAGAAATAAATATTCATTAATTTTTTTTACTCGTATTATATAAAATATATATTGGCTTCAAGGTCCCGCGCCCAATGCGTATCACCTGGCTCCAACGATCGGTATTCCAAAGAAAACTGACCAAAGTTTTTGGCAATCCCCTGCATTCTCTCTGAGAGGCCAAATCGATTTTCCAATTTACGTTTCGAGCCCCGGACCGGTGTACAAAGTGGACCAAATCACGCGGCACGGTCGATTCACGAATACCAAGGTTAAGATTGGATTGATACTCGATAAAAGTGTGTGCACTGATCTTTTCGAAAAACAAATAACTAGTTTATATTATATACATAAAATTATAATAATTTCGTACAATACCATTATAGATGACTACGGGCAGAGTCCAGGACCAGCTGCCTACTTGCCGTGCTTTCCGAATTTGAAACGAGCGCCAACTCCAAAGTTGTTGTTACCTTTAACATCCCTGACAGACAGAGAGAGAAATATTGGTCCGTCACCCAATGCGTACTCGTTACGCGACGAGCATCGGTCGTCGATCAAGAGTAGGCGAAAAGGATACACAATGTGAGTTTTAAATGCACTGCAGTCAGCGGATTGTCAATATGATACAATATGCACGAGGCACAGGTGTTTTTACAGATAACAAAAAATTGTAATAATAACTCCGAGATTTGTGAAAAATTGTTATCGAAAGTGTACTAACCTTGTAACTTCATCACTAAAAACATTAGAAACTTTCGAGTATCAAAAAATATATTTATGAGCTCAATGATCTGCAATGTCCACCATACACAAAGTTCAGAATTTACAAAGACTTATTTACTTAATAGTTATTACTAGAGCAAGGATTTTGATGACTTGCATTTTTTCTTTAAGTGCTATACAGTTCTAACCAAAACCAATTTTGTTTTATTGTATAACAATTTAGAATATGTAATTTTTATTTTGCATTTATTTGTATTTTTTGCATTTTTAATGTTATTTTTACAAATATTACGTTAATTTTATGTGTTTAAACTCATTTTCATTTATTTTAAGCTTTTTTTTAATATGTGTTGTATAGGTATCCCAATTAGGTACCTACTCTAGTTCATTTATATTAAAAAAGTAATGTAATCAATTGTCAACTCAAATTTGAATATATTTGTTGAATTTACTTCCTAAAACAAATTTTTACCTATTTTGTGTAAAATAAAAATGAATAAATAATAATTATTTTAAAATTAAATTATTTTTTGCTCGTTTAAATACTTTTTTTAGAGTTTTAGGTAATTTTTGCATATATTTTTTGGTGCATTTTTGTATATTTTTTAGGTCATTAAAATCCTAGCTCTTTAGTTATTGCTATCGTACATCAAAATTGATAAGAAAAATAAACTATCATGGCGGCTTGTACACAGTTCGAATGAATAAAAACATTAAGTTCTTCGTGTAATCGTAAGAACATACTTCTACAGCAGCAGTTCCCAAACTGTGCTCCGCGGAGCCCTTGGGGCTCCGCAATGGTTTCCCAAGGGCTCCGTTCATTATTATCCGTATGTATACAGTTCGTGTTAATTATGCTTCATAGAACACAGGCAAATGCAAATGAACGTTAAATATTTCTTGGGGCTCCACGAGAAACTTCTCCTTAAAAAAAGACTCCGAGACTGAAAAAGTTTGGGAACCGCTGTTCTACAGAGCGGCCAGCCATACCCGTCAGAAATAATACTACCTCCTCGTTATTGTTACGCCGATCGATTAGATCGCGTCTCTCGATATATTTATCGTACAGGTATCAAGTACAACATCATCGTTACCTTTTCTGTTTCTGTACGCTAGAAAATGGAGGACCAAGGATTGGGGTATCGAGGCGACGGGCGCCAGAAGTCCTGGGCCGGCGGCCTACAACTCGACGAATGCCAATGTGTATAAAAACCGCGCACCGGCCAGAACGTTCGGCATATCATCACAACCGGTCAATGTCTGCACGAACACACCACATGCGTACCTCACAGTGTCCGCCAACGGGTGCGTTGAGCGTTGTCAGCCAAAAAAATTCACGTTCGGTGCGAGGCGTCCGCACAAACACCCTCCCTACGTGGTGCCAGCCGACAATTGTCCGTTATGACTTACGGCACTTGGTTCAATAACAATAATTATTTATTAATCTTATTAAAATTTTTATAAAAAATAGCGTCATGGTCGAAATAAATAATTGTTTTTTATTAAAAACAACGATGATGATAATAATAATACAATATTTTGTGTAACATTGTACCATCAATCAAACAGTGTCTTCCACATACCTAAAATATCAAAAATTGTTGAAAGGTATTTTCGGTTGTCTCCTTTTTATCAACTATAAATATCAAAACAAATTTGTTTTATTTATATGAACCTTCCAAAATTCAAATACATATAACATTTGAAATAACCTCCACATAAATTCAACTAAACCGATAAGTATTCTGTATTGTTCCCCGGCTTTGATACCTATAACGGTTATAATTGTAGTGTATTTAATAGACTAAATATACTTACGCAATGGTGTTGAATATACGTACGAGTATATCGTATATAGGTAATATATCTTATATGTGTTTAATATTTCGTGTTTTATTGTTCATGTAATGATAAAATACAATTTTGAAAAATTTCTCATTTTTCACAGATCTATCAACAAACAATTCAATTTTTCATTAAATTTTTAAAATTAATTGTGATTTATTTGTTAAATATTAAATATTCACGCACGTAAAAATTCAAAATCAACCAAAGATAATTGGTAAATGTTTTGAACACAATATACCTACCAATCGGCTACCATTAAATATTAAATCGTTTGGCATTGACAAGTCTACTGTTTCAATTATTGGCTGTATAACTGTTTAAAATATTTATATGTTTACAACAACTATTTTTTGTATGAAATTTCACACCGATCACAGTTGCATCAAAAGCCAACATCAGATTTTGTTGTACCATTATATTCCAAACCTAACCTAATAATATAGATGATAAATTTCGAAATTGTGTACGGTTGAAATTAATTACAATTAAAGAGTTACAAAAAAATGATATGATCCCGAGATCGAAATTCTGAGCTCCTGGGGTGCCTCGATAATATCACCCCTATTATGGTAAGTATGTTATAATACCAATATAATCTACTCGTATACAGTGTAAAACAATTTACAGTCATTCATTTATATAGTCACTGCGCAACGAATATAATCGTTAATCGAAGATTTAAAGAGTTTTAAACACGATTATTGCACCCAATATTGTATAGTTATTAGTTATTACTTAATTAGTTATTTTCCATTAATTGGCAATCGCAATGCGTTTTACTCGGGTGCGGAAATAACACTGATCCAAACGCGGCCGCCTCCACCCTTCCCCTGCCCGAATTGTATTATAATATATTATATTGCATTGCTCGACGACCGCACCGGACACTGCGCGAGATCACCCCTCGGACATAAAGGGCGTTTTACGTTACGGACTTATATCGTATGGACTTAATATAAAATCTATATATATATATATACAAAGTACAGTTAGTATAAACATTATTCTCGCAAAACCCGTCAAACCCAGAGATGGCCGGTAGAAGATTTATACAGCCTGCGAAAACTATATAACAATAATTATATACATTACACACATATGTGGGATAGTAGGGTTCATCACGCATTTGGAATATATTTTTAAAACAATATAAGTTTTAACTTACATCGTAGACTATAGTTATATATCTAACCGTTGTACGTTTAATACGGCTACAAACGATTCGTGATTGAATAAATGATGATACGGTTGCAGGAATATTCATATTTAGATGTATAAGCACGCTATTTCGATGGCTGTGAAAATGTACATGGGCGATGTAAATGTACAGTAGGTTAATTTATTGAAAATCAGTGTTTATGATAAACATATTGTAAATATTTTGGTGAAATATTTCTCAACAAAATCTATGTATTGTATATAATATATACTTTCATAATATAGTCAAATATTATATTGAAAATAAAACTAAAATATTGATCAATTGTGTGGCATAGTATAATGGCGTGGTAATTGCGTGCGTGATTACCTGTTTAACGTGTAAATAACTATTTACCCTAAGTACGTTTAAATTTTAAAGTAAAATTTCAGTATAGTTTTATGTGTAAAAACAAAAGAGCAGATATTGTAATTTTAATAGAGTTGCAGCCAGTAGCAATTTGTTTTATTTATTTTTTACTATATAATAACGCATACTACGTAGTACGTACCTACATTAAGTTATAATGAGCACCACATTTTAATGGAAAAATTAGTATGATTTATGTAGTTACAAGTCGCGAGAGCAGTTTATCGACAAAATTTAATATGTAATTTCTATACTCGAAATGTACACAATTTAAACATTAATTAGGAAAAATCAATTTTCCACTATTAGACTATTTATTATGTATTGTGCAATATAACTTTGTTATAACTATTCAGTATTCACACAACTTAGGTAACACTTCAACAACATATAGGTACAATAAATATATTATCCAAATTTCCAATTGGAACACTAATGTCTAATAAATTTAAATTTAATACCATAAAGATAATGGCATGCATATACGAGTATAACATTATGAGAATATGTAACTGGTTGATAAACTTATACACACTTCTATGTGTTTTTTACGAATAAGCTAAAACCGTACACATCCCAAGTAAACATTCGTACAAATTGTTTATACTGCTGTTACGACTTGCACATATGACACAAGAACATTATTACTTCTTAGACAGCGTTTAGAAATTAACTAGCTGAATTACCCGTCGTTGCCGGGTTACAGTAAAAAAAATAAGATTTTTGAATAATTATATAATATATGAACAATGAATATACTTATAGTTATAATAATACGACAATAATATTTAGGAAAAACCATAAAATGGAAATTAATTTAAGTTCTTAAACTACCTATATAAATATACGCATAATATATTTATGCGGAAAAAACTGTAAATATTTCATCCAACACAAACAAACTGACAGTTAAATGAAAATTGTAATGTATTTGTGTATTACTATTATATTATAGAACTTCTTTAAAAACTATATTCATTGTATCTTTTTTTGTTTTTTGGTATTATTTGTATTTTTAATTTTTCAAAAGATTTAACTCTGGACATGGTTACATAAATTTGGCCATGACTAAATATAGATTGGGGCAAATACAACTCTATTTGATTTAATTTTTGTCTCTGTGCTTTGTTTATTGTTATAGCAAAACAATTCTTATTGAAAATTTACGCCTAGTAAGTAAAAAGAGATTATTTGAATAACCCATATTTAATATAGGTTTTGCCGATGACGATAGCGCAGCAGTAAATGGTATTATTATAGTTATTTATCTTTGTAGAGGGTTATGATTACGTACGTCACACCAGCCCTCTTTTTAAAAATATGGAAATTATATTATTTTATCATTTAGAACGTCATTTGTACGAATTTGTACGCAGTGGCACTAAATTTGTACGATCAAAGGGGCTAAGATATATCAAAAACCCTTCAGGGGGGTTGGCGTGACGTCACACCAGTCCTCCACTAAAAATTATTACCGAGCACTTTCATTAAAAACAAAAAAATAAAAATCAATTATGCGTAAAACTTCAGATATGACTTGACAAAAAAATTGTCTCACATTTTAATAATACAGATAGATAGATAGATTGTATAATACTCTATAGATATTAATTGGGTTTAAATTATAGACAATATAGTATTACAAATATTACAATACCGTATTTAAGTTACAATTTTGCTATCACCTTCGATAAAAAATAAAAAATGGGGAAGTCGCACTACTATATAGTAATAATGGCATAACTGCATAAGGTTCAGAAGGTGCAGGAGTACCATGGTCAGTTCACTTTGCAGGCCTGAAGTAATACAATGTTTTTTTTTTAAATTAATAAGACATGCGATAATATTTTTAAAAAATGTATTAAATAATTTTAGTAAGATGAATGCACTCCCCTTCTTAAATCTCGTTGTATAATGTCTAGATGAGAGGGAGGCGTTGAAAATTTCGTTCTCGGACACAAATTTTAAAATTATACCACTGTTTAATAGTATTATGTATCTACAGTGTACCTCGTGTTGAGGTCACTAAAACGGATGTATTAAATTTGAATTAAAATGATTGAAAAAATAAATCATAAGCCATTGTACCCATCGAAAAACGATTCACTCAAGCTGTCTGTCAGGCGTCAGCTATACTTCTATGAAGACATTTGTATTGTATGGAAGTAATTTATTTTTCTATTAAGAATAGATATGGACATATGGTAGGTTAAACTAACTTTAACCAAAAATAAATTGCACGCTATAAGTATTAGAATATTATTTCTTAAAATGTTACTATCCATTATAAGTCTATATAAGATAATACTGACATACCATAGAACAATGAATATTGGTTCGTAGTAAAATTGGTTAAAATTAAATCAAATATTTTGAAAAATGCATTGTATGTACATAGACCACATAGGTATAGACTATTGGTAGTAAATAATGATATCATAAATAGTAACGTAAAGCTCAAGTCTCTATAGTAAGTTACTAAATATAAAATGTTGTAAGTTTTGAAACTTGCTTCCAGATATGATATGTTGTAGGTACCTATTTAAAAAAAAAGTGTTTTATTTCAAGCACACTCAATATTAACGTCAATATACAGTTGTGAAAGTTTATTCGCCTGGATAAGTTCGATCGGATCAAAACAGAGGAATTATACATTAACGAACAAAGCTAATTCTGCTTATATTTCGTTCTAATCCACAACATTCAAAACTAACAAAATACGCACTTAATATTATGAACAATTTTCCCTATCACTCCGAAAAAACATATGTTAAATGATCCGAAAAAAAATCTAACATAAGTAATATTAAAATATATTACGCATTAAGAAAATAAAACTCGCAAGGTAGTCAACTGTTTTCACTGACTAGGCACCTACATTATAATTTATAACTATGGGCTATGGCTGATGTCTATGTGGCGTATATGCACTGTGCAGTTCACGGGGAGTTCGATTAACTGTAGAGTTGGTCTTCAAGGCGATTTAGTTAGGCAACCGAACGTATACTATTTTGTTGGTAGAGTTGACAACAGAACATAAAAAATATAGGTTCTTGGTAGTTGATACTATCATTAACTTTTATTTTTTATATTATAAAACCAATGGAATCAAGCCAATCAAGGTCCCCATGACCTTTATGTAGCAGTATTACCATTGGTTTTTTAAATTTTAAATTTTCCGTAATCCGTTTACTGTTATACAGACAAAAATTGTATTTTTTTATAATCCGTGATAATATTTATAAGTACAGTTGACCAGTTAGGATTTAAGGCCCCTGCAAACCTTATTAACTTTTCATAAAATCGACCATAGCGACAGATAAAATTTTAAGTACTTTTAATGGTTTGATTTAAAAAATGTAAAGATGTTTGAATCGGTAAAGTTAACTTTGAATTGATGGAAGCACATATTGTACTTTAAATAAAATATTAATTTTCGTTAAAAATTTGCAAAAAACGGTAAAAGTGTTCCAACCGATGTAAAGTAAACTATTCTACCAACTCAAACATCTTAACATTATCTAAATCAAATCACTATAAGTAACTTAATTATTGTCAATACTATGGTTATTTAACATTCATAAATTGATTTTTAATATTTAATAATATAGGTAATATAAATTATATTTACTATTTTATTTACAGTATAAATTACAATGTAATATACAAATTGCGCGTTAAAATATACATATATATTCATATTTAGTGTTATTTTTATGTCCGACTGTTGAAAAATCAGAAAAGAAAAGCAATGACTGTTCATTGGGTAGTAGTAGGGTAGTATACACACTTATAAATCATAATGATCATTTACTGCACACAAAGACGAACACTGACCCTAACGGTCAAACACAACTCCTTGAAAATGACACGTTTGCAGGGACCTTACGCACTATAATACTTACACAAGAAAAAACACATAAATTCAAAAAACTACCTTTTAATATTAATAAAATTTGACTATTGTTAAATATTAATCAATGGAAAATTATAAGACAATAGAATATGTTAATCTATGATAAAAATCATTTAACAAAATTTACAATTACCTTAACACATAGCAAACTTAATATATTTTTTATAGTTAGATAATGTAGCAGATGTCTTAAAAATTATTATTAAGGAAACAGGAAATTTACAATACATTTTTAATTTATTAATTATAAAATATAATAAAAACTAAATAAAATAATCACATAAAATTGATATATACATGTACATATTATACTAAAATATCCAAATGTAGAAAAATTAATCCAATAAAACAAATAAATAAATAAATAAATTAGAGTTGGTCTAAAAATGAAACATGATACAAGAGTATAAATTAAAAATGTTATTTATCTACATTAATATTATTCAAATTATATTTATTATACTAAAATTTTATCATATGTTTCATTTGCTATGTCTGCTATTGTGGACAATTCAGTTCTAAAAAATAAAATATATTAATTATTTGTTATAATCCTGTCATTGAACTAACATCTTTATATCACAACAAAACTTTTAAATAAAAATAATTAGATAATATTTCATAATTACACATAAACTAACACAAAAACATACAACTTTATATCCTAAAGAACCTTTACTAGTCATTTCTTGACTATTTCTACAAATTTTATTAGTTTAAAATATATGATTTTATTACAGAAACTCAGCGTTGGTATTAAATATTGTGGTATATAACTCATAAAAACTAATTTTTGGTATTATTTTAATTTAAATTAGTAAAATATGATATACCAGTATGCATTTGAAACTACACATCTTAGTCACGTGATTATAATATAAAATACAATTTTAAATATTAAAAATATTTAATGTTTAATTTCAACACTGTAAATGTAACTTACTTAGTGATAGAGCAATACATTTTATATTGCTCATTAGAGGGACAATTAAAAACAAATTTAAAAAATAATAAATTACTAAATACTATAAAAAGGATAAAATAATCATACTAACTTTGGTTTTTTAAATGTTTGATTCAAAACATTCTCAAAAGTTTCTTCTTCTTCTTCTTCTTGGATAGGTTCATGTTTCTGCAATAAAATATAAATATATTTTTCTATTATTATAATTTAGTGATTAAACTAATAGTATCTGAAGCATTTTGTTCTAAATATATGTATATAGATTATATGTATTAACAAACTCTTTATGAAAATCATTGCAGAAACTAATTGGGATTAATTCAATATAATAATCATTACTATCACTTTTTATTAAATTTCTTAAAAAATGAAATAAAATAATTTTTTTTTCTTTAAGATGCAAGTCAATTAAATATTTTTTATAAATAAAAAAATTATTACTACTAAAATTGTTGAATCATTTAATTTAAATTAAAAAAATATCCTAATGTCCAATAAAATATTCTCTAAAATCAAATTACAAGACTTACAGGCGAATGTCTGTTAGTGCACACTGCAGCAGAACATTTACAATACTTGGAACATGACAAATTCTTTTTTTGACACATACAAATATTTTTTAAACAATTTTTAATGCATAAACACATAGGTTGTCCTTCAGCATTCCTCTTTAAATTCAAGCGGTTTGCACGTTCTTCGGAAGGTTCAAACATCCTGCTCTAAAGTTTTATAATGTTGTTTTAATAAATTCTAGTGTATATTGATAAATTGTATTAAATTACTTCTCGTTTTAGCTTGTTTAAACGTCGACGTAATGGTGTAATATCTACACAATTCTCTTTGGTATCATCAACCTCAATGTTAGTCTATAACAATAATTAATAATTATGAATCACATCTAAAAATAATCACAGTTTAACCTACTGGAGTTATAGGGGAAGTATTCATATTTTTAGATTTTGAAGACTTTGAATGATGTGAACCAATTCCATTATTTACAACTGTTTGAAGATCTAATATTAACTTGTCTTTTTGATTTAATTCATCTCTTAGCTGCTCAAATTTACTAAGTTGATCATCATAGATCCTAAATCGTTCTGCAAATTCACCACCATTACCTCCATTTGATACTCTCTCTTTTTCATTCAATTGTCTCAGTAAAACTAGAATCTAAAATTAATATTTAGTTAATTATTTTTGATACCATAACTTTAAAAATAGTATTACATTGTCTTCATATTCTTTTTGAAGTTGTTCCACTTGCTTTTGATGTTTGTTCATTAAATCTAATATTTTTTTTTCTCCACTTTTAATAATATCTTCCTTTTCAAGTAAAGATGCCTAAAATAAAAATTCTCAAAAATATTAACTATTTTAATAATATCAAATTAATTCTTTTTTAGCAATTGCAAAATTATTAATGTTAATTAATAAATAATAAACCTAAAAATTATCGTACTTTAAGATCCTCGATTTGATTCTGTAATTCTAACATAGCTCTCCTATTATCGGCAGCAACATGGAATACATGTTTTAAAGCAGTTTTGGTATCAGCAATAGTTGTTAAATGATCAAAACGATTTTTTTTCATCAATTCTGTAAAAATAGATAATTAATTTAAAAATAATACCACATCTATACTTATTAAAAGTCAAAAATTACAATAAATTTGATCTATGAATAATAAATGGATAGATTGGTATTTTTTCATGATAACATTAAATTAATTTTCTTGAATCAAGCAATATTAATTGAATAAAGATAGAACAATTTTTAAAGAAAGTAAATTAGCCTTAAGACACATAAAGCAACACAAATCTAATACTAAAAGTATATAAATTAAACATTTTTTTTTTCTCATACTTTCAAATATCAAAAAAAATACCATTATTTTGTACCAATATAAGACAAAGAATTAAGCTAATTAACAATTAAAAATAACGTTTTCTCCAAAACTTAAATAATACAAAAAAATGAAACTAATAATACAGATATTTAGTTAATGGTTTTATTTAAATGATGCATACCTTCATTACTATCAAATATTTTTTGTCTAAGTTCCATTATCTGAGCAGTTCTTAACTGTAATTCTTCAGTTATTTCATTTTTATCCATTTTTAAACTGAATTTAAATTCATCTGTGAGTCCTGTTGTTTCCAGTTGTTCCTAAAAATATTAATCATTACCATGTAAAATAAAACAGTTATAATTATTAAATATTATATTTTTTATTACTTCACATCTCTGTATCATTTTATATATAGTTTCTCGGTCTATTTCCAATTGCTCTAAAGTTTTTTCCGCATCAACTGTACTCATTAGTACATCCAACTCTTCATTTACCCATTTTTGAATACGCTGAGCTTTTGGCATAAATGCCTCATCTCTTTTAACCTCAATAGCTTTACGAACTGCAAGAGCGTCCTAAACAATAATTATATATATTTAAAGAGATAACTAATTTATTGTAATATATAACCAATGAAATTACTTTGAGTCTTTTATTAACATTTGCAGCTTCCTCTAATTTACGTTTCAGAGCTGCTTGTTGCCTAACATGTAATCGTTCCATACGAATCATTTGATTTTTTTGTTTACGTTCATTTTCTTTTAATCGACAAAGTTCCCGATCACGTTCTAACTTAAACTGCCTAAATTTTTCATTTTCACTTTTCATTTGTTGAATTAATTTTACTTTCATAACTTTAATACTCTAAAATAAATTCCATATTATTAAATTAGAAAGTAAAAATTATAATGAAAATATTTTTAAAATTCTATAACTGACCTTTATTTCATTATTTAAATTTTCTACTTTTTTATCATTCTTAGCTTTCATCTTAATAATTCGATCTTGTTCCAAACATTTCTTAGTTAGATTTGATATTTTTTGCTCAAGCTCTTGCAACTTTTTACGTCTTTGTTCTGATAACCTTGTGTAAAAAAAAATATTTTATAAAAATATAAATTTTATAAATTATAAAGTAAAATAAAGAAAACATACTTAGAATTAATATTGTTTGTTTGAGCAGCTTTAAGAGCTTCTTCTAATTGATCACGTTCTTGTTTTAATTGTTCAAGTTTATTTTTCAATTCTTCAGTACTTTCTTCAGGACAATATTCGCCAATATGAGAAACTGATTCAATTAGTTTAGCAGCTAAATGTTCCTTCATAGCTAGTTCTTTATTCAGTTTGTTAAGTTCGCGATTTAACTGAATTGTTTCCATAACCATTTGTTCCTTAGTATGATCAGTTTCATTATCTGGCTCAGATACATCATCTTCATCTATGTCTTCAGTAGCAGTAACATAGTCATCTCCGCTAATTTCTACTTCAGTTCGATTATGCTCATCCTATAGGTAGAAGAAAATACATTTAAATTTTTAAATACGTTCAACTTTTTTTTTTTAAGTGACACACCATAATTGAGCCAATCTTATGTTTTATATTGTAAAATTCTTCTAAATTATTGCACTTTAGTGCATTTTCAAAATCTAATTTTAATTCTTCAAGATTTTTTTTCATTGTATCACGTCCAGTTTCAGCCTATTATAAAAAAAAGTATTAATAATTCAAAATTCCAATTATGAAAAGTATTAAATATTTACTAATAATGCTTTCATGTTTAATGATGCACTTTGTGTCATGTATTCACTCAATACTTGACTCATAGCACGAATCTTTTCTTGTAAATCCTTATTAGTTTTTTGCAATGTAATATGTTCTGGTGGACAACTGACAAAACCATTAGTTTCCATTGCAACTATTTTTAATTTCAAATCATGATTCTAAATAAAAAAAAAAGTAACATAAAACACTGAATATCTAAGTAAATTTTAAATTCATTACTTCTTTGGAAAGTGCAGAAATTTGGGCAGTAATGGGATCTTGATTTATAACTGGCTTATTTTTAATTTGTAATGCTCTATTAGCATATCTTAAAGTACTAACAGTTTCATCCATATTATAGTCAGCAGGACTAATACATGCAATCATCAATGTAACAGAATTTCCACCCAAAGAATCTGAAAACAAAGTTTATAAAACAATAAAAATGTTTTGTTTTTCATTTGATTGATAAATTAATAAATACCTTGCAATAAACGGGTAAGTTTGCTATCTCTATAAGAAATATGAGCAGATTTCTCACATAAGGAAGTAATAACATTTCCCAAAGACAGGAGACCCTTATTAATATTAACACCTTCTTTAAATCTTTCACCAGTAGCTTTTGTTTTTTTGCTTCGTTCTGATCCAGCCAAATCTACCAAATGAAATTTGGCAGTTGTATTATTTCTAAATAAAAAGTATTACTTAATTAGTAACAAATAATTAGATTATTTAGAAGAATATTATACCCATTTTCTTGCATTTGACTAATAGTTAGCGTAAATATGCAATGGCTACGAGATGATTGAGCATTCATTGCAGTTGCACCAGTTGCTCTACCACTAGAACCCTAAAACAAGTTAAGACATTTAATGAATAGATATTGTAAAAATTATCTCTATACCCAAATCATAAAAAATAATCACCTGTACTAAGCATTGAAGTGTTGAAGAAAAATCAGTTACACCTATTTCAGTTAAACCAGGAATACAAATTCCACGGCCATCTTCTCTAATGTCAAGAGTAGCTCTATTAGGAGATAAAAGATCATACACTTGTTCTTGATAAAGCTGTAAATTAATTTGTAATTATTTAATATACATAAGCAATTAAACATATAACACTATATTATTATGATCAATATATGCAAAACTTGAATTAAATGAAGAATTGAAGAAGCAAGACTAAATAAAATACCTCTTAATTTTTTAGATCAACATATCTAATAGATATATTACTTATAAGTTATAAGCAATTACAGAATTGTAGAAGTGCAAGATTTAAATGATTTGTGTTTTTCTTAATTTTGTACTGAATACATGAATTTATGTCACTAGCAAGTATATGTAAAAGATAATTACTTATTAATGTAATATGTATTACCTATCTAATTTAATTTAGAACTAGAAAAAATGATACAGAATAATCTACAAACCAACCAAAAATAAAACTAGTAGAGAATGAAAAATACAGAGCTAGAGATTTTATTCTAGAGTACAAATATAAAAGATTAAATAAGATTAAAGAGACTTCAGTGATCTAGGTATACTTGAAGAAGTCAAAACAAACTAGTAAAAGCAATGATAGGGAAAAATTTATTTGAAAAAAGATAGTTATGAAGACCTTTAACAGAGAAGGAAAATACTAAAAAAAAATACAGAAGTATTTGGTATAGGTTTGAATTAGAAAGAAAAAGTAAGTATCAAATGACACACTAGAAAAAACTATAATATTGATAAAATTAATAAAAGGAAATAAATTTAAACAAAATGAAATACTTCAATAAATGATGCTTTAATTGAAAATTTAGCTTCTTCCGATTTATTTTGCACTTCATTGAAAATATTTTGGATAGCTCGAGGAATAATACCCTTTTCTTCTTCATTGTCATCCTCTACAAAATTTGTACCCATTGAATGAGTTTTACCAGAACCGGTTTGGCCATATGCTAATATGGTAACATTATATCCTAAATTACAATCAGAATCACAGTTTATTATAAGAAAACAATTATAAAAATATATAAACCTATAAAAAAAAATTATATTCTCACCACTAAACAATTTTTGAACTAAATCTTCAACAGCTGAATGATAAACTTGGTTTTGAGAATTTTCAGGACTAAATACATAATTAAATGTAAATGTTAAGTTAGCATTATTATTCACAATTATCTGCTGGTTAACGGAATCTGCTAACACACAATTTGAACATCCACGATCTAATTCAGATTTTACAAGAGGACGAACACGAATTGCTACTCTTATTGAATCCATATTACTAAAACTGAAAAATAAATAATTATTAAAATTTTTAACTATTGTTTCATAATATATTTACTCTAAGTACACTTCACCATAAAGTTATCCTTAAAGAACTTTATAGCCAATTATATTCAAGCCATTTATCTGATTGCTAATAATAATTTTTTTCCAAACAACCAATAATTGTAAATTTTATATTGGTTAATTTTAAAAATGAATACTAAGGTTCTTATGAAGATGACAACTTTGGGGAATACCAAGGAATTTTTCAAAGAGAGGTGTTCAAATTTTTTTAACTTGTAAAAAATATAAAATAAACTACCTATGTTATTAAAAAAACACCAAAAATTATGATTCATTAACTCTTAAATTGGTAAAAGAAATAAGTATAAAAACGTATAAGTACAATTAAAATTAAACAATATTATGTAAGAATTAAAAATTTTGTCAATCAATGATAGGAGGGAGGTCCAGACCAGAAAACTCCCTTAAGTATGCTCTTGTAACAACTATTTATTTTCTCTCTCTAACTTAAATAACTACAGAAAATTTTTGTTCAAACAAAATAATTTGATGTTTGTTTTAATATTTTAATGAATAAAATTGACCTGTTATTAATCGTCAAGACAAGAGTATTATCTAGGGAATCTAATAATCTTTTATTGATATTTTAATTATAAATTATATTTAGTGCATTTTATAATATTAAATACTTATGATTCATTTAAAATAATTAAAAATCTTAGGAGATAACCTAGGTTGATAATATTCTTACTTTTAATAGGTTATGTCACTTTAACAATAAAACAAACATAAATTTGCTACATTACACTTCGAATATGAACTAGAAAAGTAACAAATACAGCACTGTCATTCTCTTAACTATGTTATACAATATTAATTTTATTGATTTACTTACATTTTCAATTATTATTAAAAATACAAAACCTGATAAATTGTATACAATACAGACAAAAGAATGGGTAAAATTTATAATTATACACACTGCACTCAAAGTTAAAAGTACTGAAAAGTAATACTGGTACACTAAACAGCGATGGGTATATTACAGTTATACGAATTATGACTTACACGAAATAATTAATAACTTGTAAATTAACTGACAATCACTACTTGTATCATTATTAATTAAAATCGTTATTTTGAATTTTTAACTTTTTCAAGGATGTTGAAACATGAAACAGATTAGTTAATAAAAAAAAAATAAAGAATAACTAACGTACCCACTATTCAGTGACCAGTACTCATAGTCAGTATTTCAATTTCGAATATCCGATTAGTTCACTACGTAAACGTATTTACGATTACAAAATTTACATTTGAATTTAAGAATTGACAGTTACCTCGACAGTGTTACCAACAATGAGATAAATTTCAATGTGGTCTTTGTGATGATGTAAAAAAATGTAGTTTCTTTAAATCGTTTTTTATTCCATTATATATTATTAATTATTATGTAGAAAACTTTTCCATGGTCATACCAGTTCAAATACAAACGTAGTAAACGTAGTACTTAATATAACCATGAATATGTATTATTGTTATAATAATTAATATGTACCTACTATTGGGCGTATTCGCGTATTTATAAACTAAATTGTTTAACAAATATAATTTAGGTACATTTTACACAAGAATTAAGAACTAAGAAGTATAATATAAAAATTAAAACACCTCTATAATTTAAATTGAAATAGCTACTGTATATAAGTGTAGATTTAAAATCATATAGTTATAAAAAATGAGTTAAAAACCATAAGGGTCACGACTCGAGGATCTATCTGGCATTTGCTCTTCATAATTTTGCGTACCCCTAAAATATTGTCTAAACTTCACCTATGTAGGCAAGTTCTAAACACCTAAAGGCTAAAATACAGCTTCTAAAATATAAGTGGAGATTTGATACCGATATTTTTAGAGTAGCTACTAGCTACAATAATCATAACATAAAACTATTCCTATTATTTTATTAAAATACCAAGGTATTTCATAGAAAAATATCGAATACTTACGTTTAAGATTCATTGGATGGTTTAATTGCGAGGTGGTATGAGTTCCAATTTTTAAGTAAGGTTTTACCAATATATTTTTAGATTCCAATCCATTTCATTTCATCAACATTATGTTCGTGACATTAGGACCTTTATTTACGGTTTAGAATATATTATTTAATATATCTTGAAATTTAAACTGTACTATAGTCTATAATAATGTATTAAAATGATTTTTCAATTGTCCATAAAAGGCAGACGGTACGCTGGCATGTTTAAAGAGATTGGAAGCGGCTATTTTCTATCTTTGTCTAACACGCGTATAACATAGGATTATTATAATCTATCTATTCTTATAAACACACATTTCTCGATGGATAACCATAGTTACGGCATTTTTAGTTTTTACTTGAAAAAAACGTGTAAAACTGTAATGTTAAACGTAATACAGAATAATCTCATTTTATTTTTTTTTCTATTTACGGCATTCTTCCTTAGGACGGCAGTATAGATGTAATCTATTTCCGTTTTTTCAAAGTACCGATTAATATATTGAAGCGATAAGAATTATGAAAACAGATATGAATTTATTGTCAAGTCTACTTTAGATCGACTTCCTCACATTTTTGATTTTAACTTCTCCAAAAATTGAAATATGTCATTTTTTTATTACTCTTTTTTAATACATCATTTTCAGGATTTTGGGAGGATAATATAAAAAATGTGAGAAATTAATGGATCTAGAGTAGACTTGACGAAAAATTCAATCTGTTTTCATAATTCTTATCACTTCATTATATCAATCTGTACGTTCGAAATTCGAAATAGAATACGTCTATAATCCTATGTCACTCGTGTGTTAAACAAAGACAGACAATCGCTGAATCGCCGCTTCCAATCCCCTTAATTGTAATTGATATCAACTACCTACATACTATAAAGTTGATTAACTATAATAATTAATTTGATCAGTGATCAAATTGTAAGCGACTTAAATGTATTTATTAATATGTTTAACTAATTATAAATATTTTAATTTTAAATAGTAGATATAAATAACATATACAATACACGTTTATGGAGGTGCACTTCAAATGAAATAGCTCCTGCCTTCAATTTAAATACTAAGTCGAGTAGTTTCATAGTTTCAGATTCTTAATACTTCTGTTGTTCTTAGAATAAGTTGTCCAGCATAATTGAATAGTCAATGAATTGACATAGTTATTTTGTAACGTCTAGTATTTGCGAGCAGATTTTTTAATTTTTTCTGTTGAGTGTTGGCTGTTATTATAGGTACTACTACACTAGACTACCAGACAGCATCATATTACAGTGTAAATTGTATTGTAGTGTTAAACAATTGTACGAGATTGAGAACTTAATTCTTGTTGTAAGACGAGAATTCAGTTCTAATCTCAAGTTTAGAGCACTATTGATAAAAATATTTTGCCTATATAAAACAATAGAACAGTAACTACCTTTATAGTTTGGCATCTAAGAATTTGTTAGTCATATCAAAGAAAAATATTAATAGGCAATTCAGGACTGGAAGATAAAGCTATTTAAAAGTGACAAATGACTGAATTGAATTATAAAAATAATCTATGTATTTTTTTTACTTTGACATAATTATAATTTAGTAGATTTTTACTTACTTTTTTGGTAAAAATTATTATTTTCTAGGATATTTCCATAAGTAGTTTGTGGAAAAAGTCCATAAAAATAAAACATTTAAAAAAAAAAAACACATTTATGAAAATGTAATGGCAAACAACAAATATAATTTCAATTGTATTGATAAAGACCATAAGATTTCAAAAAAGGTGATTAAAAGCAGTTCTATTTCAAAAAGTAACATATTTTCAGCCCTGTAAATTTTTAACAACTAAATTTCTATAAGATGATGTTATACTGATGAATACATAAATATTATTAGCATTACCAGTCATTTGTATATCCTTTAAAAACCCTATAGTTTTGGTCAGTAGATCAAAATAGTTTGATTGGTTTTGTATCAAATAAATAAATTATGCACAATTATTGTGATGAATTTCATACCAAGTACTAAAACCAATAATTTTTTCAGTTCTAATGTGATGATTGATAATTATTTTTTATTGAATACCTAGTTAGTTTTAATACAATAAATAAAAAATAATATTAACCATCTATAACAACTCTTGAGTAAAATAAAAATAAAGGAGAATTCATTATTACCAATGAATTAAATCATTATGTTTAAACATGTAAATATACACAGTGTATTTAAAATATATGTACACCAAATTTATTTTCTTATTTGTTGACTTTTAACATAATACTAATAACAGGCACTGATGTATGTAATATTATATATATATATATATATGTATGTATATATAATATACATATACATATATATTCAAATACCATTTATTATAATATTAAATAATCATTTTAAATGTGCTCAATGGTTTTGGTTCTACATCAATTGTTTGAAACATTCACTGATACAGCACAAATTATATCATGCATAGTAACATTAAAAAAAAAAAATATACTTATAAGTTAAGTCTGGGTCTAAAAATTACTTAAATTGTAAGTTTAACTTAAAATACGAATCACGTCAGACATATAAAAAAAAAGGAAAATAGGTTTTTCAAAAGAGAGACAATGAAACACTGCAAGACTTACAGTTGAATATGAAAAATAATGAGGGATCTAAAGAACACAACGTATTTGAAAGGAGTGATAAAATGTAATGTTACACACACCCAACTGCAGCAGCTGCTGCCGCGGCGGTACTCTTTTTCTTCAAAACTATGTCCTTGATGTTCAGGTGTACTTTTTCTTTGCGCTGTGGCGGCACCGACTGCAAGCAAAACCGCTTAAATGCTTCTAATTCTCGTTCATCATCATCCATCTCTCCATCCTCCAGGTCTATGTCTTTTGGCTCGAACACGCTTTCTGCAAACGGCCACAAACACACTCATTTTTGGAGATTTACTTTCTCGATCTTAATTGTATGTATATATATATAAGAAACCTAATCATTTGTTATTTTAATGAGTCTTGCTGATTTTAAAAGTTAGATTTATATTTTAAAAAAAGTTGTAGTTGTGCTTGTATCATACATTCATGATATGAAATCTACCATTTTAATTTATTTGTTACAAGTTTCGCAAAAAGAATAATACCATTGGCAGGAACTGATAGAAAATGTTACATTCTTTGATTTGTACAAGCTAACGATCGAGAAAGCACGGTCCAAATTAATTTGGAATTAACTTAATAGACCCCACACAAGCAATGTGCTTTATGAAATTATACAAAAATAATATATTTATAATAATATATAAATATCAACACGTGCGAGTGTGAAATCCAAAACCATCAAGCAAATTATATTGTATAAAAGGATTGTTTTTTTTTCTTTATTCATATTTATATATATATATTTTTAATAGCTGTTAATTATTTTATAGGAAAATGCTTGTAAGTAAAAAAAAAAAGCCTATTAAGAAATAAATAGTAAGAATACTTTAAATAAATATATATAATTGTCAACAATTATTTTCACAAAATGAATAAAAAAAAACAAAAGAAAAACTCAACTCGTATCTTTGATACAAACAAAATAAAAGCAGACCTCTAGAGCTACCTAAAGAATAATGATTTTTGTTTGTTTATGTAACAATTACTAAACATAAAAAAAAAATAAACAAAAAATGTATAAAATAAAAAACAAAATAAAATCATATTTTGAAAATTGGACTTTTAAAAAATACTATTATTTGTGATTTAAGTACAACAAAAATATAATTTTATAATTATTTTTCTGTCCAATGTTCAAACTTCAAACACTGTGAAATAAAAATAGTATAAATTGTCATAACTGATAGAAAAATTACACAAATTATCTAAATACAACTTTGTATAAAAAAATTATTTAATTGTTTAAGCAAATCAAAACACGAGTAAAAGCCAAAGAAATATTAATTTAAAAAATAATAATAAAGCTGCAAAAACAAGCATGCAACAAGTTTGAATCTTCATTAACAAGACTAAAATTGCCATCACCATAAGAAAGCAGCCTATTTTAAGTATCAAGTATTTACATTTCATTGGACGCATAATTTGTACTATTAGTTAATAACTTAAAATTATATAGGTATTATCACATAAACGAGGTAGATATTATACAATTTTATAGTAGATATTTATTCTCAGTATTAAATAATTTAGTTGTTAGTGGACATTCTATTTTATCAATTGTAACATTATGTATTAATTTAAATACATTTTAATGCTAATAATGTTTTTAGTTTAATGTAGCAGTGATAGATATTTTTGTTAAATTAAAAAGCTATTTTGTATTTTTAAACATTGTAAACACAATATTTAACAAATAATAAATTATTATACATTCATCACATAGATTGGAATTTAAAAAGTAAATGCCACATTTCATTATTATGGTATCAGTTTCATATTACTGTTTAGTGTTTAAAATAGTTTATATTTATTTTATAACCGAACTGTTTATATAAAATAATTTAAATGGGAGGCAAATAAATTATGAATTAAAAATGATGTAACATTTAAAAATATTATTTGTAAATTTTTCAGGAGAAAACTTAATGAAAACATGAAAATGATTTCTATACATTAAATGTATTATTTAATAGGTCAATCCCAATATAGATGATTTATAAGATTTAAGCTTTCAGTTAATAAAAGGAAATAATAATTCAAATTTTGAATAAAAAAATTTAAAAAATGTTTAAATAAATTGTCAGATCCTTCAAAATAATAATGTCAGGCCAATGGAGAATTTTAAACTCCATTAATATTAAATAAGAGGTATTTTTAATAACATGTGTAAATCAATTATTATAATAATTGAATAAATAGAATCAGATTTTTAATTTAAAATTTAAATAATTAATAAAAATTATATTTTAATAAGTACTTCAGTGCTCAAAATTTCTAAGGAATTGTTACTTTAAAATTGCCATTGTCATTTTATATAATTATTGTAATTTTAAAGTTAAGAAATAACATCAATAAATTTCTTTACAAAATAGGTTAAAAAAATATTTTGGGTGATAATTTTGTTTTATACAAGTGTAATTTACTTTATAGTCATATTAATTAAAAAATTTAAAAAAGCTAATTGCTTATATTTACATAGGAAATAAAAATATGATTAAAGGATTTTTCATTTACAGGAAATTAAGGAAGACATCAGCAAAGCTCACCCTCAACATCCGTTTGTTTGGAGCCGCCCTTAACCCGACGGCGACGACGTCTTCGCTTACCAGACGGATTAGCGTTGTCGTCGTCGCCACCGTTAACTTGTAAGTCTTTATTTTCTGTCAAAATGGCATCATCATTGCGCTGGTACAGTGGATTTCTTATAGTAACCATACCACCATGCCTTTGAATAATCACTGGCAACGGCATAGTTCGTGGTGTGTTAGTTGGTATTTGTCCAGCGATGGTCTTACCTTCTTCACTACATGGATCTCTTGTTGATGATTTTTGAGTTATTGTAAAACCTGGTTGAATATTTTCTGAGTTGGTGTCATCTGAAGTACCTCCATTGATTTTCTTACGACGTCTATGACGTTTACTTGCTGCACCACTCCATTCTACAAGTAAATTTATGTTTTGTATTATTATTTATAGTTTAATCAAAAATAAGTATCCAATAAAAAATTATTTATAAAAGATAAAATATTTTTAGTTTTTACATTAGAAACATTAATATAAGAAAATAAAAATTATAGATAAATTAAACAAAATAATTAATTTTGAATTCAAACCAAATAATATGACTATGGTTCATAAGTCAAAAAATATATCATTATCATTGAATATTATCTGTCTATTTTTTTAAATTACATAAATAAATTTATATAACATAAACTAAATGTCAGAAATTATTTTACATTAGCTATAAATTAACAGATTGTACTAGATTATTAAAGCTTTTAACTCAATAAATGATCTGCATAGAGAAACTCAAAAGTAATGCGGACATTTAAAAATATTACTTGACATTATTTTTAATACTATACACTACAACTGTTTATAATACACATATGTTCAGAGGAAATAAAATAATAACTACATAACTTAGAAATTAAATAGTAGATTTTTTTTATTAAATAATTACCAGTTGATCCTTCATAATCATAACCATCAGTCTTAACAACTACAACATTATTTTGAGCATTTTGCTGCATAGTAAAAGGTGTCATAGCAGCAGGAGTGGCAAATGGAAATTGTTGCGATGTTGGTGCAGGTTTAGGCTAAAACATAAAAAAATATTAAATATAACATTAAAATAAAAGTTCAATAACATGTGTTAGGTATATGATTGTATGAACAACACTAACTATAAAAGTTACCTTTTCAGCCGACTGTTGAATGTCTCTTGGTGGTTTATAATCAGAAGGGTCAAGTTTAGTAATAGTAATTCCAGGTGGTAACTGTAATTTATCAATATCAATAGGAGCTGATGATGAAGATATTTTATTAACAGCTTCATTTATTTGTATAGCAGTTGGACTTGTAAGTGGCATTGGCTGTGATGGTGGTGGTAGAGGGCGTGTGAATACTTGATTATTATTACTTCGTTTTATTAACACTGTGTTAGGTTTTTGTTGAACAGAATTTGAAGTATTTGGTACTGGTATAATGTTAACATCTGGCGAACAATACCATTTCATATTTGTTGGTAACTTTGGTGCATTTTTATTAGTAATCAAGACACTTTCTACTGGTTTTGAATTAAGTTGAGTTTCAAGTTGTTTAGGTTCAGGTTCAGTTTGTTTCTTTTTACGATTTCTACTTCTTTTTTTAATGGGTTTTTCTTCTATTTTATTTTGAGGTTGTTTACTTTTATCACATAATCTCTGAATTGCTTTAATAGCTAAAAAATAAAAATGATACAACATATAAGTTTTATTTTATAAATAATAAATAAACACCCCGAGAAGAAAAATGAAAATTTACTAAGAACATACACTATGGAAATACAATCTTTATTATGGTATTATGAAAAAAGAATATTACAAATTAAATAAATATAACAATAAAATCATTGAAAAATAAAACAAGAAATCTTGCTCCTGCTGAATAGTATGTTTAAATGTACTTTTTATAAAGTATGTCACTGTAATGAACATTTTGAATTTGAATAAGTTATTAAACAAAAAGCAATGCTGAAAATTAAAGTACTTGTCTCTAATCAGTCTCAATTCTAAGTTTCTTTTGGAATAACAACAAAAAATAAAACAATTTAATCGAAAACTGGTATTGCATAAAAATTTCCTTCTACAGTCCTCTGAAGATTTTTCTCAATCATTAGAAAACGTACTTGGAAACTACTCAAGAGAATTAACTCCTTGATACTAATTTCTATTTTTCTAATTAGAAACATATTATTTTATGTACTAAAACATGACATATACACAAAAAACACATACTGTGACATTTTTCTCTAATCAGAATCTAGGATCTTTTTTTTTTTTTTTAAAGTCTTGTGGCCGAAATAACGAATAACTAACTGATATTTCAGTTGTTCAAAAAAATAAAAAATATAGAAGAAATTATTAAAAATATTCTTACCTTCATTGTCATATAAAGTGCACAAAACATCATCTTCAACTGCTCCTCTAAAAGTAATGGTTACTTTAGAACTATCTGAATCTCTCTTTATTGTTACCATTTTTGCACCCTCCACGTCATCTTTTTTACATTTTTCATCTATTTTAGTTGATATATTTTCTTTATTACCATTTCCCTGAGATTGCTTGTTTTTCTTTTTAGAAGATTGAGTATTTTGCTGTACTTGCTGCTTGGTTATTTGCTGAGTCTTAGAATTAGTAACTTGTTTTTGCTGCTGACTTTGTTTTTGCTGTTTGTTTTGATTTTTTCCTTTTTTCTTTTCTTTTTTTAATGCTTCCTCACGCTTCAGTCTTTCTATTTCTTGTTTTTTATGTTCTTCTTCAATCCTCTTACGTTCAGCCTCTTCTTCTTCTCTTTTTATTCTCTCCATTTCCTCCTAATTAAAAAAAAAAGAATTGAATTAAACACAGTTATTTATTTATTCAATATATTTTAAAATTATACTTTTTTTTCTCTACGTCTAGCTTTTTTTGCCGCTCTTTTTTCATTAATTGCTTTATTTCCTTCAATGAAATTGACTATTTCATCAATTGGCTTTTCAGATAATTCTTTAATAAAGTTTTCGGGAATATTTTCATTATTATATTTCATTTTTTCATTTATAACTTTGGTTACAATTAATGGCTCTACTTTTTGTTGTTGAACTCCACTACCAGCACCTAAACATAAAATAAATTAAATGTATAATTAGAAAATAATTAGTTAAAATTTTAAATATTGGTAACATTAAATAATTTAAAAAAAATATATAAAAATATATCAAATGTTAAATTTAAATTATAAGGTGATGTTTAATAGCAAGACTCAAACAAGTGTCGAGTTATATATATATGCAGGATGTTTCATGGTGAACTGACAATTGCCATAGCTTTTGTTCTATTGAAGATTTTTAACATTTTTTTTTAAATTGTCATTCATCATTTGCGCTTTATACACGTGTACCACTCGGTCTATTATTTTATACACTGTTCTATCAAGTTCAATCGTATTTCTAACAAACTAAACGATTCTATACTAACAGATAACCTGTTAAATTTTTTAACATAAGAATAATATATATTGACTTAAATTTCAAGTATTATTAACAATTTTTTTAGGACTACTTTCTAGTTTAAGTGATTTTGATAAGTTGGTTCATACATTTTTAATCACTTTTATACAACAGTACACAACTAAATATTATTTATAGAAATAAATATACATAACTATATATATATATATATATTAGATTTTTATTTAAATCTAAATATCTAAGAATAAAATAATATAACTTAATATAAAAATAATAAATGCTTAAAATTATTTAATAACTTAAACTAACATAATTCTACTCACCAGTTTTATCAGCTACTGTTTGAGGAAGATGTTTAGGTGGATGAACAGGAAGTGGTCTATGCACATTAGGTTCTTTTTGTTTTTGTTTGATTGTTTCATTAGTTTGTTTGGCTTTTTTTAACAAATAAAGATTTCTCAATCGGTCTCTCATTTCTTGATAATTACGACTAACTGGTGCAACAGAAGGCTAAAAATTGTTTTAAAATAATTCACTATCAACTAAATATGTAGATACTAATATATCAGAACATTTTGATTCTTTTATAAAAATAACTTATTATTTCAAAAAATATTAATGTTCTTGGAATATTTTTTTTTACATGTTATCAATGCCAAAATACATTATTAATTCCTTATACTAAAGCAGAATATTTTAAAGAATACAGTGTGTTTTTAAAAAGTATTTTAAGTTTAAATAATGTAACAACAGGGGTACTATAAATGATATTGGTCAATTACTCCACCAATCAAAACTTATATTCTTATAACCTATTCTTAATTAACTGTTCATCCTATATTAAATTTTTATAAATAGATACTCCAAATAATATTTTGAATCAGAAGAATAATAAAATTGTAAGAGGTCATTCAAAAAGAAAAACTTTCAAAAAATTTGAAAAAAAAAAATTATTTAGTAAGTAACTACTCTAAAGTAAAAAAAGAATATTTCAAAAAATGTTAAAATATTATAGATATAATTACATCATTCAAATACTTACAACTCCATGGCCAAAAACTTCACAATAACAACAGTCACATTGCCTTGGACTTGAAGAAGAACGCTCAGAGCAGCTATCATCTTGACTTGATCGACCTGAACTACATTCTGATGTTTCATCGTGGTGATGCATACGTTTTACATGTTCAGTATGTTTATGACATGAATGACCATGCACTGGACGATTGTTGGATTTAACTGTTGGCTCTGTAGGTTTATTTACTTGTGGATATGGATATCGTCTTTTAGGTAACTGTTCTATTTCTACTTTACATGTTACATTTCTGTCTATATTTGATGGACATTTTACATTAACCACCGGTTTAGACTTGATTTGAGCATCTGAATTAAGTACCTTGAAAAAATATCAATGTTTTTACTTAAATACAATAAAAAAAATCAAACAAAATCTGAAACATATTTAAAATTGTAATTATATTAACATCACAAATTTCTGTCTAAAATTTGAATATTAGTTAATATTTTACATAGCAGAACACTGTTTTTTTATAAACCTAACACATAAAATGAAAAAAAAAAAACAATGGCATCTACCTTGTGTTGCAATAATGTTTAAAACGTTTCTTTATCTACTCAAATATGTAAATTGTTAAAAAAAATTTACATTTATAATTTTAACAAAATAAATTATAACACATATTCAAATATTTAATAGGTACTAAAACCAATTTCAACACAAATAAATTATTTAGATAAATAGTTTAACTTCATTAAAAAATATATACACGGTTGAAAAAAATTATTTTTTACCTTTTTCCCAAGATTTTTAGTAATATTTGCTGTTAATACTGGCTTTTCATCTTCATCAGTAAATGTTTCGCCACTATAAAAACATAGCATTTTTTCTTTCATATTAGAATAGGAAAAAGTAATTGAATTGATTTCTTCAGTTTCTTGTAAATTAGTAAATTTTACATGATGCACATACTGATCAAAATCCACTGAAGAATTTTTTCGAGTTTCCACCTATATTTAAAAAATTGAAATATTACAATTTTTAATGTAAAATAAAACTAATTAATTAATTAATTACAGTGTGTATGCAATCACAAAAATTAGAAACACCGTCATCTTCTATATCTTCACAATTGTCATTATCTACTCTTTCTCTAAAAATAAAAAATAAATTATTATTATTATTATTTTAAACACAAAAATACAACTTAGTTAAAACTAACTGATACTCAGGAGCTGGTGATTGAGGTGGAGTTGGGATGGTAAGATCTATTACAAAATCATCATTTGGTGGCAGTGATGAAGAAAACAATTCATTTTCTTCTTTTAACATAGTTTCTTTATATTTTTTAGCACCCATAGCCCAAACTTCATTACATCTATTCATTTAAATAAGTATTAAATATTTTAGTTTAGATTTCATTTATTGTTTTATAAAATGATTACTTTATATTATGAATACATGTCCTTGCTTCAGCCCATTCTGATATATTAAGTTTTACCTCTTTTACAAATTTTGTATAATCATGAATTAAACTAGCACTCAATAACGACTTTGACAATATTGGTATTGATAAAATCTGTAAAAAAGAAAAATTGAATATCATTTTAATAAATTTAAATCAACTATAAATTTTAAAACATACTTGTTCTATAAATGTAGTTACAAGATGATATATAGTTCTATCAGCATAAAGTCGACTGTGATACAAATATTGATTCATCATTCGCCACGATAAATTAAATTTTGATAAATGATATTCTTCAATAGGTTTAATAACCTCTTTTAAATGATCAGTAGCAGCCATTAATCTTCGATAGCTGTCTAATAAACCTATAGACATACAAAAACTGTAAATAAAAATTAATAAAATAATTAAAATAACTTACAAAATACAAAGACTTGAGGCATTTCTGGCGTTTCTTTATTCTTTTTTTCTAGTATTTGCACTTGCCTAGACCTGGCTTCTAATACAAATTCCATGACGAGGTTTTCTACATTTTGAAATACATGATAAGAATCACAACTTTTAGATCTAGAAAATTAAGTATGATAATTTATTACTTTTTTAACATTATATTTTTATAAATAAATAAATTTTACTCATAAGCGGCTTCTTTAAATATATTATGGGGTGGATAGCGTTCAACTTCAACACCATCCATAGCCATTCGGTATACTGTACGAATGTATGACATAAGAGAATTCCATTTTGTTTCCCATTTTTGCACTTCATTTGCTTCACTAGAGGTAAAAAACAATTATATAAGTAACATGTAACATATAAGAATATAAATTTATTGTATTACTTTAATTCTTTGTTTCTAATAAATTCACGTAATTTAATGCACTCCTTGTCTTTTTGATTTAAAAGGTTTAAACAATGTTTTTCAAGCTGAAACAACCCAAATACATAAATTAATAATATACTAAAATTAAATTAAAGTACTTTGTAAATTTATAGATACAAATTATGTTTTTATATAAATTAATGTATTTAACCTTAATTAAACACATAATGTAAAATCATTTTAAAAATACCTAACTATTATTGAATTATAAATAATAACTATAAAATATAAATTTGTATATCTAATAAGTTTTGAACCATTCACCACCATCAATCGCCATATTTTCAGATATTTCAGTATTGAAAGATACGTATATACTAATTAATAAGCAATAAAACTAAAAAATTATTAAAAACAATATTTAAAAATATTTTATTTTTATTATTTTGAAACTAAAATTTTGAAAAAAAATATGTTCATAAAAATGAATAATTCATAATTATCATTAAAAACAATTAAACGAATACATTTTTTTTTTTTGTAATTATACTATACATAATATCACTACCGTTACTTTATTTTAATTTGGTAAATGAAGAAAAATCTATTTTAGTTTTAATGCTCTCAAAAGATGTTAGATGCGAGTTCCTCTTCTTGGTTATTTTAAGTATACTAGCTATTTTATTACTATTAATTTATGGCCTTTTTTTTAAAAAAATAATATTTTTAATGATATAGAAATAAACCAAATTTCTAATAAAAATGTCTTTAAATTGAATACTAAAATTAATATTTTTAAATTTTAGAATTCAACTCCCTTCTCATACCAATCCCCTCATTTCAAACCTTGCTACTCTCGCAATTCCTGGGAACCCTCCCAGGAGGCTCAGAAGGAAATGGTGTAGAGATCTTCTCAATGAGTAATTAAGTATAGCAAAATACTTAAAAAAAAAAAATCAAGTAAAGGCAGTTTTACCACTGGGTGACTCCTCCCATCAAACTTTCATGTATTTTATTTCTATTATCTCATATTCTTATTGTTCCTAAGGAACAGATTGTATATAACTTTTAAAAAATAAAAATAAATAAAAAAATTTAGAATAAAAAATGTCTTGTAATTAGATATATGAGCATTAATTGTACCATGCTTTTGAGAAAACGTGTTACGGTTTACATAAGTATAAGGAGAAAAACATATGAAATTTATGAAATTGTAATAGCACAACATTAATTGGTATGTCTAAAATATATATAAATATGTTTGTTGTATACTTTATAAAAAGCAGTTATGTTTAATGTGTAAATGCTATTATGGACCATACTAATAAGATAAAACAGTTACAAGCTTAAATAGTTTTGCACTTTTAATAAATAAAATGTATGTATAGGAACCAATGAACTACAAATCTAATACAAGTCTATACTGTTGTAATTCAGTAAGTTTAACATTGAGAATTTAAATTTTAATCAATAGTAGAAACATAATGCTTGAACAGTTCATCTTCATAAGACATTCATATAATTTAAAAATACGTTTATGTATCAGTACTATTCCACACAAAAATATAATTCAACAACATAAAACTAATTAATGTAAAAATTAGAAACTTTTGTAAATTACAAGCACAGTGCAAAACCAATGGTAACGTCAACAACAGTATTTCATATCGTCACCCGGTCAGACCGTCTTATGCCGAACAATACCTACAAAAACGGAAGATTGCACAAAAAATAAAACTTGAACAGTCGCCGATCAAAGAATTAATCATCAGTACTCAACGCCGGTATGTGGCACATGGATAGCTCGTCAACAAATATTGTCGCTAACCAGACGAGACAAGAGCAGATCGCAACTCAATAGAGTCGTCCTGACAAACGACAAACCACATTATTGCGAGAACGCTTCGTACCTGTTCGCGTCGTTTATCCTCATTTTCGTGGTTAAAAACGGCCGTGTCGTCGTTGGCACTGCCGACGCCGATTCCGCCGCCGTCGATGCTGATGCCGCCGCCGCCGCCGCTGCCGTCGCTGCCACCGTTGTAGTCGCCACAATTGTTGTGTTGCGCCGCCGATTGACAAACGGCTGCTTGCGGACCGTTGGCACCGTCGGTCGCGTTCACCGCAACGGTAATGCTCATGGTTTTCACTAATTTTAAGGGAAAAAAAACTATATCTCTTGTAACGAAAAAAGGATTCTCGTATGCGCGCGCGCGTATGTGTGCGAGCTGTGAGTATATGTGTGGTGGTCGGTGGATATGTATATGATGATGATATCGTGTCTCGGGGACACACGGGGTAAATGGACGCGATCGGTCACGCACGCACAACAACAACGCGTCGCACGCCTGATAACAGAGACAGAATTATAACGAGCGGATGGCGTCTGCGGCAGTGTGGTGGCGGAGCGTAGTAGTGGTATTGTTGTTGGAACAACATCACGACGACGACTCCTCCTCCTCCTCCACAACATCATAACGACGGTGCTGCACCAACGACGGCGGTGATATTGTGCATTTGTGCGCCCAGCGGCGGCGTCGTCATAGTGCAGGGGCAGACGGTTCGCCTTCGCTGTGTAGTGTGTACGTACTGACGTCTGACATTGTAAACTGTAAACACTAAATTGCAATGGCTAGTGGCTACTATGTTAGTGTTCTTGTTTAATGTCTATGCAAGCTGCTGGCATCGAGCGCTTGACTTGATAGTTGATATTCGTTGTGATGCAACAATTCACGGTTTATTTTATTACGAGAGAATACAACAAAACAAACCGGTCAAAGAAATAATAATTTTAATATTATGTCGTCGGTGACATTAATGTTTACTGTACAAAAATCTATCGGTTTAATAATTTTCGATTGCGACGCGATTAAACGTTACAGTTATGCTTAAGTCTGTCGCGTTGATTTTGCATAAACCAGTTGATATGGAATAAGTTACGAATTTACGATAGTTTTTTTTCATGTTATCGTTCGTTCACTTTTGAAAGTTGCACGCAAATTATTCGACCGTCGGTAGTCGGCTAGACGACAATTGAACTCCTTAATTTGTTAAAATTAATTAGCATTCCCGTGATTTAGTTATTACTACCTACGCAAAAGTCTAAAATCGAAATAACAATAATTTATATCATGTAAAAATAAAATAAAGGTCCTATGCAACGCCACGAATTACATGGTATATAGTATATACTATAGACATATTAAAAATGTAATTATTAATTTATCGTTAAATATTATACAACACATGTTCGTACTTCGTAGTTCTATTTCTATAGTTCCATACCCTTATGGCATACACAAGTAGTCACGGGACACTGATCACCTTTTGTTCCAAAGTCAATTTGTTCAGATTGAATTATTATCTAAAATATACATTTTTTAAGGAATATTTATCCTAAACACCAATTGTTCCACAATAATCCATGTCGCTAGCATGGGTAAAGATACACTTTGAATAGTATCTATAACCTTCGTAATAACTCATTACTCATTAGCCAGTAGCCAATACTTATTTGTTCTTTGTTCCTAACTCCAGAAGCATAACTATAAATTAGAGTCCCGGGGAAGTATCAAGTGTTGGTCCCCATCTATTTATGCTATTAAAATTCTTCAATTTTTTAAATTAAAAAAAAAAAAAAAACAGTAGTTTGTATAATTAAAGTTTATTTAATTTATGCAATTTTACATTATTCCTACTATATCTTACAGAACTTTCATACATTTATAACTTCTAAGTTATATTGATAAAATAAAGTTAAATGAACTCTTTGATTATTTTTTTTTTTTTGTCTATATGTACATATTATATGTATATATATTTAAATTTATAATAAACGTACTTAATAGTCCAGCCCGGGCCACACTTTTATATGAAAAATTATATGTTTTACACTCTTTTAGTCTCTATAACAGTATGACATGAATTTTAAAACAAAATTCAAACTTTTGAATACACAAATTGTATTGTAGGTTGAGAGGGGCCTGAGGCCTTACCGTGCGTACGATCATGTATAGTTACGCCTTTTGATCTAAATGATCATCTTAGGTTTATATTAATAAATTTCTATAAATGATAATATCTATAGTTTCAACAAAACATATTTTTTCTAAAAATGTGATAATGTAAGGAAATAGTGTTATGTAGATAGTGATTACTAAAAGAAGTATCTTTTTGGAACAAGTAATAATTGGAAGATGTTTTTATGAAAACGAAGAATTTTGAATAATTATATTAATTTGAAAACAAAAACCTTAAAAAAAATAATGTTTTGAACAAATATCGTGCTATAAAGTGTAACTAGGTAAATAACTAAGACTTATTAATATTTACTCACCAAAATCAAAACTATAAAAAATGTTTTTAGTTTTTATACAGATCTTAAAACTCTTTCGTGGTTTAGAAACAAATCATAGATAATATTATTAACTATATGTAAATTCATTAAAAAATATATAGGAAAGGACCTGAGTGACTGCTCTGTTAAAGAAATGTCGAGTGTAACTATCTTGCCATTAAAGAATAAATTACCATATAATCAGGCCAATCAGGGCCGTCCTTTGAGGGGTCGTGGGGGGGTTCTAACCCCCTAATTTAACTAATTTATGATTTTTCAATAATTAGTCGGCAAATTTGACACCTAGTTAAAGTGGTCGGCAATTCAGTATCGTCAGAATTTAGATAGTATTTTACTATTTACAAGAAATGTTTGTATAAATCGACGACGACAATTTTATTAGAATACACCGAATTCTATAAATAGACAAGTTTTCTTCTATCAGACCCGTTAACTTATTCTTGGTATTATACAATATTAATTTATTATTTTTGCAATCGATAGTTGTCGTCTACTCGACTATTTACTATTCAGTATTCATCTTAGGCAGAGGTTCCCAAACTATGAGTTGGCGATCATATTTTTAGTGGGTTGCAGCCGTTGCAGGTCGCATTATATTTTTAAATAAAGCATTTTTTTAGATATTGATTCAATTTATTGTGGGTCGCCAAAATTTAAATAATTTCCAAAATGTGTCGTGCCATAAAAAGTTTTGGAAACCGCTGGTCTAAGGTAAATGGTAACATCGTTTGACGTTTGTAGCTTTTAAACATGAACACTTTTCTATAATTTTTATATTAAGTGAATTTTTTTTTTCGTATCAACATTAATCAATTTATCAAAAGACAATTTGAAAGGTTGTATTGAAAAAAATTAAGCATTATTCCTAATGTTTTCTTATCTTCTTGAAAAGGAAAACATTTCACTCGATGCCATTAAAAGTTATCTGGTGTTATTTCCTTTTGATACTGAAGAATCAAAATGCAAAGACATAGATGCTGTTTAAGCAAAGATGGAAATATTAATTGGAATGTGCAATGTTGTAATACAAATACATTTGATAGATTAAATCTGAAGAAATGAAAATACATTTTACCATGGACTAATAAAATCTGTAAATTAGCCTTAACTGCATCAGTAAGTGTCGCAATAAATAAAAGATCATTGAGAAAAAATTGTCTATTTGATATTTAAAATATCTATTTTTTTATAGATTAGAAATTTAGAATAACTACATAAGTAATTATAAAGAACCTTTCTATTCAATTTTTAAGCCCTTATAGCTATAAAAATTAAACAGTCAATTTTTAAAATTACAAAATAATTTGCATAGTTTCGAAATTTGAACTTTAAAGTTTAAATACTTATAAAAAAGCTAATATATCTTTGATATCCTTTCTAAACAGATTTCCTCACTAATAGTTGAAAAATGCAGAACAAGAGCACGTTATCAAAGCACACGATTTCCCATGCATAAAAGGCGCATACCTATAACAAATTATCTAGATAACTGATTGAAAAAAATGCTTGGCAAATATAAAACAGACGTATACGAATAAAAACTGACCAAACTTTCTTCTAGACAGAACCTTGTGGAGTAAACAAAAAATTACTTTAGTATAAATTTTCATCGACCTCATAAAAGAAATTTAATAATTTTTTTGCTTACAAGACTGAAGTTTATAAAGTCTATCGTCATGAAATATTTCACCACATTAAATTATATTTACACCTGAACAAATAGATACATAGGTCGTATCGCGTATAGCACACTATTGGGGTGGTTTATGTCGACTACTAAGTTGTCTTATCCATTAGTGAAAATTCATTAAACGCTCCATTTAAATTAAAAAATCATTATGCCTGTGTGGCTGTGTGGTACATCAAATGGTGAATTAAAGTTAGCCAGAATTAATCAATCTACACAACGTTTACTCTACGTAAATCAGGATAGCTCAACTGTTACTCTGAAGTCTGAATAATATCCAATACAGTTAAGTAACTAAGACTCAACCTAGGCGTTGGCACTATGCCTACTGCCTATATAGTATTCATGAATGAATGGAGCCCGTGAAATGTTCAATAATAATTAAATTTAATTGAAAAATTATTTTATTAATATAAAAATGTATTTTTATTTATTATGTTTATTGTTTATGTACCTATAAATAGAATAAAAATAATACTTGTTGGATAGTAACAACAATAAAAAAATTGTAAATGTATAGATTAAGTAAATAGACCGATTACGCTGATGTAATACCTTACAATTACAGCGATAATATACCTAATATTACGATAATTTCGTATTAGGTATTAGGTTTAAACTTTTGTTATCAGCTTATTTTGTTGTTTTTTCTTTTTTTGGAAATTTTGTTGTTTTTATTGCAAATTTAGCGATATTTAAGGTAATATTATAGCACATATTTATGCAATTTTAAGTGCTATAAAATCATAACTCTAATTATTATTATCATTATTCTTAATTTAAATAATTTTTAATATTATAGTAAATTACTTTCTACCGATATTTTAATCTTTTCACTTTTTGTCGAAGAGTCAGAAAACTTGAACCTACTATACTACTTAAATTTTTTAGTTATCATATCATAAATAATTTTAAAAGACTGAATGATTTATGTGAATATGTGATGATTAGGTTACATATATTTACAGGTAAGTATTAATAGTATTTCGAATAATTGGTTATATATTGATAAGTTCAATTCATAACTTTATGATAAAACTTTCGTATTTGGACTTTGAAGTAAAATTTTCATATTAATATTATAGACGTAAAAATTTATAAATTTAATACTTATTTTTTAGATATGTATCACCAATTAATTAATTTCTCCACAATATGGCAAAATTGCCTAGAGGAGCATCAAATAACTTTATCCAGGCCTGACTTTAATTTTAACTTTATGAATATATTAAATGTATTTTAGCTACCATTATAGTCTAGAGATCATAACAAATCTGGATTAAAATTATTGTGGGCCCTAGATACAGATAGTTAAGAGACCTTCTCTTTGAGAAAGAATGTGTTGAATTTCATTGTTAAGCTTTTTAAAATGAAAATATTTTTAATGTATAAATCAAATCTAAACTTTTATATAAATAATTTTCTTATATACATTATATTTTACTTATTGTGCTAATATGTATATTAACTTATAATAATAATAATAATAAATAAATAAATTAAAAAAATATGACAAAAAAGTTGTTGCCACACATTTTTGTTGGCCCTAGGCACAGTGCCTTTAGTGCCTAATGGCTAATATGGCCCTGGATCATAATCAAGATTCTCTTTACATACCTACAAGCCACCTCCACATTTATGTAACCTAGTATCTGGTACAGGTGTTGAAGAATAAAATGAATTAAGCGTTTATTCACTTTGGTTTACCATCCCTCTTTGACAGGGAAAGATTTATTTTAAATATGTATATTACCAGTCTAAAGTCCTCAAAGGGTGACCAATTAAATATATATATATATTATATGTATTATTGGCTACTATAATTATGCTATACTTAACAAATATAATACAATATACCTAACTTAGTTAAAAATTAACACAATGTTCCATGTAATACCTATTTAGATTATAAACTGGAAATTGCAAATACAATAAGTTCTTAAATATCTATGTATTTAGGTATAGGTTGATAACTAATTTAAATTTGTGATTCAATCTGCAATAGTAACTCTAAAAGCATCTTGGTAAATATTCTTTATAATTCTTAATTTTTTATTTATACCTATGTATAGTTATTACTCATTACAATAATTTACAAATAAAAACAATAGGTACAATTATTGTAATTGATATATTATATGATAATCAGTATATAGATATCATTTATCTTGTGTAATTTTTTAAGATTACAAAAGAAATTAAATAAAGTTATAATTGTATTTTTTAATTCACAAGTAAATTTAATTAGGGTATTAAAAACCATAAATTTATAAATGAAATTACTAATGTAATTACAAACGATAGACGATCTAATAAGATAGACAGTGTTTTCCAAAATAAAGCATTTTCATCTCTTTGAGTATTGGGTGTTTCCTCTTCCATATTTTTTTCTATCAAAAGTTCTGCTCCCTAAAATTCAATAAGTTTTAAGATTGAAGCATAATAACATTTAAAGTATGATTAAATAATATATCTTACCTGAGTGTTAAAATTAGTTAGCATAGCAATCGGTTTTTTATTTAAAAGAAATGTTGATACAGACTTGAGCCATTCAGGACCATTGCGAGGAAAATCATCAGTACCATGTTTATAAAATGCATTACTAATCACAGTTACAATAAGTGCTATTGCTGTTAGAATTAGGGAGTTGCGATACAATAGAACTGAAATGTAAATTACAGAATTAATACAATATCTTATAATACACTTTTATTTTACAGGTATACAGAGGTGTACTGGGAGTTTTCTAGCTTAGTGAGAAAGTAGGGTGAATCGACTTGACAAAAGGTTTACTGGATGAAGCTTAGTTCTCCCTAAGTTATTAAAAACCTCGCACAAAAATAGATTTTGCATAAAATTTATAGCTGAATCAAATTTATATTTTCATTAATATTTAATAGCAAAAACCTCATTTATAACCATTTTAAGAGTATAATATAAAAATATTCCTAAGTATATTTATTTTGATAGCCATTACTATATTATTTTAGCCAAAAAATAATAAATTTACATGGATAGCTTAGCAACCTTAAAAAGTCCACAATCCAGCAGGAATAAATTATTCCCAATGTCCCACCTGACAGTTCATCTGTGTAGAGACATGATTTAAAAAAATACCTATAACAGCCATAAATGTAGAGTTTAGATTTTTAACTTACTTATGTATACTGTTTCTTTGCCATTATTTGGTAATTTCATGTCCAAGAATTGTATGTACAGCAATTCAGAAATGAAAATTATACTTAATAAAATTAATCGAAGTGTTGATTCACGACCCATTAAAAACGTAAATATTTTCATCAATGATAACACTACAATTTCAAGTAAAAATACTTATTAATGAGTATTTAAAAGTATATAAATTTAAAGTCTACAGAAGATTATATTATTTCTCATACCAACTGCTGGGATTACAATGGATGAATAGTACATGGTTGAATATCGAATTATATTTATATCGTATTGTAAGACGCAGTGTTGAGATGTATTTGAATTGGTATAAGTGATAAACAAACATTCTTGACTTATTTTATTAACTTCCCATTCTCGATTAGGTTTATAAAAAAACATATCCTATAACAATAGTAATAAAATAAATAATAATTTAAATTTATACATAGAAATATATGGTTTTTATATGATTATTATATTTATTTATTTAAACTTCTATGTCTTTATTTTTTATAGAACCATCATACATTTAGACTTGATATTTAAAAAATATAATAATAAAATATGTGCTCACGTAATATCCGTTTGTAAATGTGTAGTTTACATATACATTGGTATACACAGGAGATCCTATAAAAAAAGTGCAATTATGGGAATCAAACGGCCATTTAGCTATATTGGTTGAGCATTGAGAATTTAGAATTATACGGTGATTGTATTTAACTATTCCTTTATTAGTTATTTTCACCATACTTGTTGGTAAAAAGTAAGACGATTCTCTATTATCATCACCATTGAATCCCCTAAAATATTTTAATTAATTATTTATTAGTGTAAAATAAAAAAAATATCATTTGATTATACATGTGTATAAATATGCTAATCACAATAGTATACCACTCTAAAGTTATATATATATTATTTTGTATTATAAAATAAATATATTATAAGATTTTTTAATCTTTTTAATTTCAAAATATTTTAGTCTGAAATGACTGAAACGATTCGTTCAAAAATCAATAACAAATTAATCATTTTATTTATTAAACAACAAAATTGATTAAACAATGTAGAGAACTTCACATATGATAGATAGCAATCAAAGTAAAGCTTACATCAACCCATATATTATTTTGTTAATGTTAATTGTGTTTAAATTGGAAAAAATGACAAAACATTAAATAGTATATAAATAGCTCATTAAGCACATTTAAAACAATTGAAACTGTATTAAATTTTTAAATTTTAATTAAAACATTTTTATATAATAATATTTGAATTTGAGAGTATAAACTTCACAATAAAAATAAATTGTATTTTTTTTTAAATTTTTATTCCAAATAAACTCAAATGACGAACTAACTACCAATTAATATACACAGTAACTAACCATTTTTTATTTTTTTTATATAATTACAATTGTTTTTTTTATAACTAAAGGAATTTTAATGATGATTTTTAATTATTTATATGCTACAAATAATTAAATTGTATGTAATTATGTTATATTTAAGAGGTTTCTTTCAACAATTATATTGCAATGATGTTCCAAAAAAACTAAATTTTACATTTTAGGAAATGCAATTTAATTCTACCTCTTTACCCAATTGACAAACTACATAATAGATGAGCATAATATTGACTTACACATCATATGACATAATGTCAGGTATCCAAAGACGGGATGATTCTTCACTCATCCTCTCAATATTGTCATATTTTGAAGGATCCCAAACTAAAAATTCATCTTTCCAATTCTAAATGGAAAAATATTTGTTATATTTTATTACTTTTTCACAAACAGTAAATTAGTATAGAAATGATTGACGCAACTAGGTAAAAAATATTTAAGATTTTTTTTTTTTTTGGAGGAGGATGCATAGTAGAAAAATTGGTATCTTTAAAATAACTAATAAGTACATATTATATAAATTAATATATCTACTACTGTGCATCATGTGTAAAGTTAGGTAATAATAATATTTATATTTTCATATACACACCTAGGTTTTTTTATACTATTTAAGGAATATCCTGTGACAATACAAATAAATTATTAACTTAATTTTTATTTATAAATTGTTTATCAGGTTATTCTTTTGAAAATATTGATGCTTCTAAATAAAATTTTGAACAAGTAATTTTCTTTAACTTTTTTAATTAAAATTTATAAATAGGAACATCAACATTTTAAATAAAAGCGTCTCAAAATTTTTTATAAAAAATAGTAAACTACTTAGTGGTCTTATTTGAAAAATAAAAGTTTAAATCACCATATAATATTCCTTAAGTTACATAAAAATTAAAGTGTTTGAAAATAGATATTCATTATAAGCATATTTATAATTTATAAGTTATAGATTTAAAATTCATTATGTTAATTAAATTATTGTTTAAAAAAAATATGAGGGCAAGTATTTAAAAAAAAAGTGAAACACAAATTATGGTCTGTGTTAGAACATAAAATTAATTATTAATTATTACTTAGATAGTTAGGTACTAGTACTATTTAGTTGTTGTGTATATTATACTATAAATTTTAGATTTTTAGAATAGTTTTAAATGCTTACATATCTCATACCTATAAAGTTTATTAAATTGGAAATCATTGTACAATTAAACTTAGACTGGATTTGCAGAAAATAATATTTTAGGCAAAGCCTCTCTATACATCTTCTCACTAGTTGCGCCATTAAAAAACACTTATAATTTATTATTTAAGTTGTTACCTACCATAATTAATTGAATACTCATTTGTAAAATGTTCCATTTTTCATTCTGAAATAATAATAATAATAATATTAATATGTTGTGGTAATAGCTTGACTATATTAATATAATGATTTAAAATTAAGGAATAGAGGAGTATCTTGAAATTTATTTTTTTAGTCAGAATTCATGCTTAATTATTATAAAAATGTTTCTATTAGTAGCAATTTATGAAAATTTAATAGACATAACTAACATTTATTAATTTTATTATAATTTATTGTTGAAAGGAAGTAAATAAAGTATCCAAAATAACTAAATAGTTAATAAAATAGTTTGTAATTTGTAAATAAATATACAGAGCATACAACGATTGTAGTTCATGTTACTCAACCAACTACACGTATTCATCATCTAGAAACCCTACGTAAAAAATTTTTATGCATATATGAATACTGTCATACTATGTAAAAAATCTGTGAAGTCAGCATTTATGCTTCCTTTACAATAATATATCATATATACAATATATAATGTATACAAGTCTACAGTATGTGCTATTATTGCTTACATTATACAGAATGTTATAATAAATTACAATTTAATATTTCAACATTTATTAGGTAAAAATTAATTTTTTTTTTAATAAAATTAAAATCTAACAAAACCGGGTTTGGATATTCATATCTCTATTCACTATATTAGAATAATTTATTCCGATATTCTGATACTGTATTACTGCTCCCATTCTTAATAAAGATACCACCTATGAATACATAATATAACCAGCTTAAACCAGTTTCATAATAGGGGTTCTAACCACTGTTTCCCAAATAAATGTTTCTTAATATAGACATTATACTTGCAGTTCTTTATAATTTAAAAAAAAAATCAATATTTAACAATTTTATGATGTCGATAAACTATAATAATATCATAATAAAATGTTTGATTTTTATATTATTAATTCCATATTTAAATTGTATATATGTGCACAAGCTATATACCTAGGTAGGTTATACCCAATTTTTTGTATAATCTAATAGTAGGACGTAGATATAGGCTAAATATACAGATAGGTATTTAAAATTGTCTTTACCATATGAACAGTGTAAATATAAAATTTGGTTTCAACATTTAATTGAGATGATTGATTTATTACAGGCCTTATGTTTCTATCGTAAGCGCAAAACAAATCGTTTGAGAGTCGTACAGCAGCAGATGCGCCAGTTAAATCATTATTGCATCCTTCACTGTTGCGAATGCCACCAAGAGTAAAATTAAGGTTTAGTTAATTCATTAATCTTTATAAATAAAATAGTTTAACTTTTAAACATAATTTAATTTACCAAGAAAAAAAAACACACAAGTATAAAATAATGCCACTTTCAAAACACCCATCTTGTTTAACATAAAAATAAGTACTAATTAAAAGTTAAAGCTGTAAAAATGTATAATAAACGCCCACTTTAAATTTTAATCAGTTATGATCCGATGTCTGTGAAGTATCATTATTTTTATGTTAGAGTAATAATAGCTTATCATTGACATTTTTGGTAATTTAAACCTCATGGTTCAACAAAATAATCTTTTCTTCTTTGTATCTAATTATTGAACTCATTATGTCTACTGTTTAATAATAATTTTAAAATATATGCATGCATAAAGTCACTGATAAAATAATTATATATTTTAGTAGGTAAATGGTACTTATTTGTGAACATTATGTATAGCATATTTAAATTCAAATATAAAATTTTAAATAATGACTGTAATAAACATTTTATATATTTTTTATTTATTTCAAATCTTTATTGATATTGTTTTAAAAAAAAAAAACTTATTTCTGATTTAGCTCGTTCAAAAGTGAAATCCAGTTGTTGCTCGCAGAATTTGGTGCTGAGAGGTATTGCTTGAGTGATCGTTACGCAAGCGCTGCTTAAAAATAGGACATTGTTAATGGTTAAGTTTGACTGAGTGGCTGGTGACTTTATTGAAGACCTTTACATTTCCGAGGACTTAGCCCTTTTTTTAGTGGTAAACACCCTTATCCGGCCATCCCCAGCTTGTGGTGGCATAAGAGTCGCTCGTTTACGTTCCATTTCTACATGACCTTTACAACGCGAGTTGTTCTTTTTACCAGTGATGAAAGAGTTATATTAGATATAACCGTTATCTGTATACAACTTGACCGTTTATTCATTGTCTTTAGGCTATACAATGATATTATAGTAGATCATTATTCATTACCTACATTAGCATCAGCGTATTCTACAATAAAGTTCTAGAGAAAAGAAAGTTGATCAACTGTAAAGATTTAAAAATAATAGAAGCTGTTATGGCCCCTTGGGAAACTCTGGTTTGTATGGTGGAAATTGATAAGAGACTTGAGTGGTATTGAACAGCAAATTGACGGTTTTCGGGATAAGAATTGAAAATTAGATTAAAAGTGCATGTTGATTTTTTTAAAATTTTTAGAAGACCTAACTCTGTCGAAACTTAAGCAAAATTGATGAAAATTGTGATAGATTTTTTTCTAAAAGCAAAGAGATTTAATAATTGTTTGTTATACGGTTCACTTGATGAACTGTGGAATGGTGATTTCGAAAGCCAAATGGTACGTTAGGAATCATTTTAGAATTATTTATGATTCGGCTAATTCTTTTGAGAACTGTTTTTTTGAGTAGGTAGCTTTAATTAAAAGGGTAGAAGGCTATGAAGAAATCCACTTCCCTGTACTGAAATATTCAATGTGTTTAAGAATATATTTACAAGTTGAAGTTAACACTATGGATTTGATTATTTTACTAGTATAAATATTAATAACAATTTATAATATTTTGTTAAGTATGAAATTACCATAGAAAATTGATTGTAAATTAGGCACAAGGTTGGTAGATCGCTTACATCACTATCAAATTTTTTTTTAATATCTGTTAGAATTATTTATGAGAAACTTTACAAAAACAAGTTAACTGAATGTTTTGATAATGTTCATTAAAATTTAAATTTCTAATATTCTAAACATTAATTTGATTTTTCAATATTTTTTTTATTATTTATAGGTAAAGTATCTTATGACTAAGAAGGAATTCTATATTTAATTTTCAATCATACATTTAAATGAATCTTCAATAACAAAATAATTTTGGAATTTAATGAATTTTGAAAACATTCTAAATTCAAACACTAATAAAGAAATAATGTGACCTTGTATAATTGATATTTTTTATTTGGTAAATGATAAACTAAAAAAAAAATCTAAATTAAAGTTGTATGTATTATATGCCAGTAAATTATTTTTATCAAGATTTCTAACACCAAATATTTTTAAAATTATATATACATAGGACATGTTAAAATACACATTTGATGAAAATTGTAAGTGTTTATTGATTTGTTAATGATAGTTTTTTACTGAAAGAAAAAAACTATCATTGAATTTGCTATAAAGTTTTGAAAAAAAAAATTTTCTTCTTTGTCCAATTTTTTTTTGAAAAGTAGGTATTGGGAAATGTTAGTTGCGGATTCTCTAAATTACAAATTATATTTAATTTGCTATCAGAAACTACTTTTAAACTTGATAATTAAAGAAATTTTCCAACTAGTTACCATATATACATAATAATATATTATTATAAAAATAAACCCTTACATCATTGAAAAATCGAAATACGAAATGACTTCAAATAGTTTAAAGTGTTAAAACAATCATGTTTTTGTTAATTTGATGTTTTCATAATTATTGAAATTAAACTTTAAATCACTGAATTTTGTAGATAATCAACAATAAGAATAAAATATTTAATTTATGGTGCGTAATTAAAAAATAATTATACAATTTTATTAACATACTGTACAAGTATAAATAAAAATTAATCATGTACAATTTATAATATTTTATGCTTTAGAAACTTAAATTTTTAATATAATATAATAACTACAATTTTTGTTTTAAATTGTTGATAAATCAAAGCACCATACTCATTAATTAAACAAATTCATACAGACTATGTACTTCTGGAATTGAGAATTCAATATTTTTGTTTTTGAATGAATCTTTTTTTTAAATTATTACATGGAAGACACAAAAATGAAGAAAACATACATTTCTAATTTTATACAAATAAAACAATTGAACATAAAATGTATACAATTTTTCACAGCAATGTTTCATTAAAATTTTCACTTGTTATACGTTTTCTTTTTGGTAAACTTTCTGTAGACGAAGTACACTTAGAGAATTGTAATTGATCATCCTCCAAATCTGAAAGTAATGATTGTGTGGATGATACACTGGTATCACCAAAACTGAGATCTACTGGACTAGCAGTCAGTACACTTTGACTGAATAAATAGTCACGAAATGAACTGGACAACGAATCACCAGAAGTCATTAAATAGTAGGGATTAGATGATACAGAAGTTAAACTTTGTCGGCTTGGCAAATTTGAAATACTTGAATCACTGTTACAAGGTTTCATTTTATGTATGTTCGAGTTTGATAATGCTACAACAGGTTTACGACTTCTTGGAGTCATCATTGTTTCCTGAAAAAAATTTAGAGTAATAAGTTTATATTGATATATATATATACATATTTATATTATATAAATCAACATAAGTCACAACTTATTATAACTTAACAGCAGTTAATTTAAAAAAAAAAGCATACATTGGTATTTGGCATTTGTGCATATAAAAAACTCATCTTGACTACCTGCATAGATTTGGTCATTTTTTGAGCTGACTGCGTAATTGGAGACATATCGTCATTAGGATGTTGCTGGTGTGGGGTAACTGATGATGGAGTACTAGTACAACGTTTAATACGTTTAACAACATTAGGAGTAGAAAAACAATCCACTGGTGTATCAAGATCTAATTTAGGTGAACAATGGTCTTCAATTTTTGAGTACTTCATTTCTTTAATTGGTAATTTTTTTGAGCCTTTCTTCTTAATCTTAAATGAATCATCTTTATTTTCTTTATCTGATGAAGTAGCTGCAGATGGTTTGGATTTTTCTTCTGCAAGCTGAGCATATACCAATGGACACAACATGCAGAGATTAGTTTTTTCATGCAATTTTAAGGAATAGGAGTAACACAATACATATTAAAGCATTTAATTTAACATATACAGTATCAAACATTTTTTTATTTGGGTTATTGTAAAATGGACCAATTTTATTTTTTATTAATTATCAATATAAATATGTTGATTAATAAAATTTTAACTAATAGTTGCTGAAAAGTGTAATTTAAAAAATTATTTTTGATTGTTCATTGTTATTTCAATGTAAATATTAAATATATACTTAATTGTAACCTAGAATAAAGTTAAAATTCAAAAAAATTATAATTTTTATTATAAAAGTAAATTATGACCAGTGAGAAAAATCAGTTTTTATTTAACTAGAATACATAGAATGTAAAATTTTTGTATTGTTAATCTAGTTTTTAAAAGAAAAGAAAAATATAATGTCTATAGTATTGTATTACATATTAGTATTCAATTATTATTACACATTTAAAGAATTTTGGATAAGTATCATTCAGTTGTTTATATTGATATTATTGTATTGAAGTATTAGTTTTAATATTATTGTTATAAATTTTAAATAGATTATTTGAGTGGATTAAAAAAAATAATTCAAATTTGGAGTGAATATTGAAGACATATTGCTCAAGAATTATTTCTTTTTTAATTATAGTTTTGTATGTTCTAATAAATTAAAACACTTATTAGTTGTAATAATTGTAATAAACACAAATTCTTATTAATATCAAGTTAGCTATATTTTTCTTAGTTTAAAAGTTGACTTTATATAAATATAAATGTTAGTTATTAGTATTACTAATTATTAATTAAGTTATATGGATCCATATTATACAACAATTTTTATTGCACAAAAATAATTTGTTACTTATTACCTTTAATTGTCGTTCTGCTGACTTTATTGAACTTTGTTTCAACTTTGATCCCTTTTTAAAAATGTGTTTCTAAAATATAAAATGCAATACTATTAAATACTCAGAGTATGAAATTCAATTTACATACTTTGATAGAATTGGTAAGACTTCTATTTGGTGTAATTACAGAATTGTGATTGCTAACACGTTTTATAAACATCCTACGCTTTTCAGCAGATTCGGGTAAATTATGTACATGAGCATATAATTCAGCTAATGCTTTAACTGTTGGATTTTCTTCATTTTCTTTAGTGGTAGTTGTACGATCAGTGAATGAAAATACTGTTGTAGCAACTGTTCCTTCCTCCTAATGATGCATTGAATAATTCTTTTTATGTATTTAGACACAAAATATTAAATAAACAAATTTTACCTTGACAGGTTGTAAAGTTTTTTTAGACCAATAAGCTCTAATATCTACTGATAAATTTGGAGGGATTTTAAATAAGTCAAATCCTAATTTAATCATATAAATTACAATATGTGATAGATTTTGAGTTATCTGATAAAGTTCTTCTGCTGGTAACTATGAATAGCAAAAACATATTATTCAAATATTTTTGATAAAAATACATGTAAACGATTCTAATTAAATGACATAATGGCTTTCTAGATACCTTTCTTGGAACAATTAAATGACCAGTAAATAATGTTGCTAAATTGTCTGGTGGCATTTTGTTCTTGTCTGAATGCTTAGCAGTGAAGTGAAGTAGTTTTATGATATCTTTTAATAATACTAAATTATCAAATGGCAGTAACAATAACAAAAGTTGAAGCGCTCTCAGTAAACGTTGACTATTATTGTTAATTTCTATTTTTTGACATAATTCTAAAATAAAATCATGATAAATGTTCAATATTATTAAGTTTTTAATTTAAAAATACCTGAGATTTGACAGTATGCTGGGTAAAATGCTTCTGTCATTATTGGTTCAGGTTGTTCAGCTAAAAATGATTTCAAAACAGTTGCACAATCATGAACAGTAAACTGTCCATTGTATAAATCTAACGTTTGCCCTTGGTTTAAAAGTGCTTTTAGTTCTTGTTGTCGAGTGATTGAACCATTTCTACGAAATATACCTTCTTGCATGACATCTAGATTTTAAAATTCATCATGTATCTAATATTTTAGTAAATAAATGTACAAAATAAAAGTTCATACTTTCTTCCTGAGACAAGAAATCAATAAGTTGATACACTTGACAAATTCCTTCTTGAGTAATTGGTGCTCCATCCATAACCCCTTTCACAGAACATTTGTCTTTTTTCATAAAAGACCATTTAATGGGTTTAATTTTTGATTTTTCTTCAATAGTACATTCTCCTCTGAATATCAAAAAGTATAAACATGGATATAAAACTAAAAAATTGAATGTTTAACTCACTCTTTAATGTTAGATTCTAGTATAAATGACAAATGCATTCTAACTAATGTATAAAATTGTTCAGAATCTTCTATTCTTAGTTTATTAGCTAATTTCCAATCTTCATTCATGTCCAATAATTCCATTGCCATTTTTATTTAGTTGTAAGATATTTAAAAGAAAATGTGAAATTATCAACTCATTTGCAGGACCAATATTTCTTTTGTTTAATCTAAGCAGTAGAAAACAGAATATGAATGTATAGTTAGTTGAAAATGTAAACACAAAATAATATTTAAATACCTGAAATTCCAAAACTTCCAAAGGACACAGTGCTACAGTCATTATGTAATATTGAATAGTAAACGAACAATATGATTTAATATCGGAATTAAAAAAATTAAAACATCCAAAGTAACAAATTATACACAAATCTATGTCCTACGATGCAAATCCATGCAGGAGTAACATAACTAATGTTTTGACAATATTTTATTTTATTCTTATTTTTTATTCACTTGAATTAATGAACTATATTATTATTTATTATAATAATTAAATTAAACATTTGTAAAATTATAACGGTTTTTATCTTAGCGTTTTCAATTTTTCGAGTACTGACTTTAAAAAAGAAGGTAGGAACGGAAAAGATCATATTAGTGTGGGCGCAGTGCAAGATCACAATGCGATCATAAAGTTCCCGTTGTCTGGCCACACTGGCTTCTGCTGGACGTCTATTAAATATCATTTTTATTATTATTATTATTGTTTTTTAATAAATATTTATTATTTTTTCTTCCTAAAAGTCGCGTTTTTGGTTTTGGTATTTTCACAACAGTCGAGATCCGTCACTTCGCGAGCATTTATTGTTCATACGTCGTGTATTCGTGCGTGCCAACGCCGCTCGTCTCCGGCCTAACGACATGTCCTTCGTAACTTGCGCCGCCCGTAACACGTTGCCCGCAAGTCCCTCGGCGGGTCCAGCCGCGTGATTATCCCCTGAAGGCTGAAAAGCTCCAAGTCCTTATTTTTCGAACGTCCCGCTATATATTTTGGCCAGACGACCGTGCGCTCCCGGAGGTCAAACCCCTACCCACACAAACATCATTGCAACGACCAGCGTGTTATAGCAATCGTCGATTAGTTGTGTGTCTGGACTTAATAGAAAAAAAACAGTCGACGGGGCCATTACAAAATCTCGGAGATTTCCAATAAAACATGGTCAAGGACGTCAAGTACTGCTGAAATCTCATCCCACAGAAAGCCGCGTTCACCTTGTTGACGTCATTTATCACAGGCACCGTCGTCCAGGCGTGGTGAGGACAAATATTATACTGCAGTTGTGTTTTTGTGATGTTTTTTTTTTTACATGTTTTGATTTTTCTACGGTTATTATTTTTGATGCGTTATTCCGGCGAGTACTCCCGACGATCTATGCTCCACACTGCCTACAATCGAAATCATTATATTTATAGTAATTAACAATTATATTTATAACTATCGTAAATTTTAATTTTTTCATAATAATATCATTCGAAAACGACGTTATCTACGTTTCCAATAAACAGGTGCGATAAACCACCTAGGTTCTTACTACGTACATCGTCATTGTACCTAATAATAATAATATTAATTACGACCAATGTAAATGCATCAGAGATAAGAAGATATGTGTCATTACTTGTTTGTGTAGTAGTTTATTTTTTTTTATATTACTCGCATCGTATTTGTTTCTTATTTGAGTGATTTATGTACTTGTGAATAGTTGAATGTGTCATGTATGCTGGATAATTTCTCGTATACCATATCGTCAATTTTTTTTGAATTTTATTTTCCTAACCTTCCAGTTGCAGGTGAGGAATTTTAACCACTTTATTGTCCAGTGAACATGGTATGTGATAACTTGGGAGTTATGCTTGTATTTAGTTGTGAATTTTTACATAGTGATGTGCTTATGAATACAATTTTATTCTCATCAATTTAATTTCTTTCACTGCTATTAAGAAACATATTTGTATTTACATGATAACTTGTTTTTTACTTAAACGTCTAAACTTACTTGCATTATTAAATTTATTCGTATTTCTGACTAATATGAAATTATGACGATTAGTAAAATATTTATATTTATTTTATCATTGGTAATTCTAGTTATATTGTTCAAACTTATTATCAATTGGTAGGCTGACATTAATTTATTAGCTAGGTATTTATTACTTATTCCATATGCATCATATTATATAATATTTGCATTTTTTATTCAAAATGTTTATTGTTATCTCTGATTTATGTTAGTAGTTAAGTGATGTGTGTCTATATTTTTGTAAAGAATTTATGGTAGGTATGCTTTAGAGTCAGACCTTGAGAATCAATTTTGTACTAATGTGTGATAAAACTACTGTCTGTAAAACATCTAGTACTACTCTAGCTGTCTTATTAGTTATTATCATTTCAACAATACTTACTTAAATCTTACATATTATATACAAACTTAGCCTAATTAATAATAATTTATTATAATACTATCACATACTTATATATAAATATATATATATGTGTGTATGTGTGTGTGTGTTACATAAATATTTTAAAATATAACCTATTTTTATGACGTACAATTAATAATATTTGGTTATCTACTTCATATACAATATCATAAAACTGATATCTATTGAAGTGTTAAAAAAAAAAATGCAGTAGTTGTTATAAATTATTTCTAGGTAACAAGTTTAAAATGTATTTATACATAGATATATTAAATTGATGGAAGATCTTATTAGGTAATATACTAAAATTGGACTTAAAATTAAAAAATATTTTAACTAAAACACCGAATGAATAAATATTTTTTCAATGATAAAATGCATATTTCTATTAAACATATTGATTCGTATACATGTAATTAACAATTTTTAATTTTTAAATTTAATATTTTGATAGGTAGATTTTATTTATTATTTTTAGTTGTTTTTATTGATGAGACTTTTTTTTAAATGGAAAAATAAACTAGGTTAATACTATTTGTGCTAATTATGGCCTTGAACTTTTCCTAAGCTTGAAAATAACAAAAAAAAATATAATCACATTGTGTTTGATACTAACTTAGTAAATTTATATTTATAGGTATTCTTTCATTTTTTAATGCTGTTTAAATATTTAGTATATGTTAAAAATTTTTATTTTTGATAATAGGCAATGCAAAATTTGAGAACTGTTGGGTCATGCGATCCTTACGAGTACATCATCCTGATTGATTCTAATATTGTGTAAAGGCATTTTTAAAATGTCGTTTTTAAGTGGTCTCAAGAAAGTGCTCCACTTAGGTAACAATGAAGCAAAAAAGAAAAAAATATTCAACAACATCCATATGGATTGTGATGTTGATGATTTTTGGGAAATGATTGGTGAACTTGGTGATGGAGCTTTTGGCAAAGTCTATAAAGTAATTTTTTAATTATATATATTTTTTAAATATTAATGACCAATAAGAATTATTTAATTAATTGTACAAATTATATTCAAATTTTGTATTAATATAAAGTGCGTAATTTTGTCTTTTGTTCTACTTAAAATATTCAGTTATTTTTTATTATTTTACTAAGTATATTTCTATTATAACCATTTATTTCTTTTACTGTTTTCAAACTTACTAGTTATGTTTATATTTTCAAACAAATAATTTAAAAAAAATATTTCAACATAAAACTAAAATTTAGTTCTTGTTGTTTATTAGGTATTTACAATTATTTGTTATGAGTTAAATAAAAAAAAAAAAAAAAAAAAAAAAAACAATGATATTTGTATGTCATTTTAGGTTAATTAAGCAAAATTAACTAAATTATTAATATAATAAAAAATGTTATATTTTTCTTGCTTTAATATATGTTCTTAAGGCTCAACACCGAGAAACTAGTCAGTTAGCTGCTGCAAAAATGTGTATCTTAGAAGGTGAAGATGATTTAGCTGATTTTATGATTGAAATTGACATTTTAGCCGAGTGTAAACATTCAAATATTGTTCAGTTATATGAAGCATTTTTTGTTAACTCTAAACTTTGGGTAAAATATAACAATAAGTTAGTATTACTATTTAAATCTAATTTTTAATATTTTTAATAGATGCTGATTGAATATTGTGATGGAGGCGCTTTAGATTCAATTATGGTTGAGCTAGATCGTGCATTAATTGAAGAACAAATAGCTTATGTATGCAAGTATATGTGTGAAGGGTTAGCATTTCTTCATAAATGTAAAGTTATACATCGTGATCTTAAAGCTGGAAATGTACTTTTAACAACTAGTGCTGGTGTTAAGATTGGTAAATGTTTTAAATATAGTTATTGGCATATTGTTATTCATTTTTTATTATATTTTGCAGCTGATTTTGGTGTTTCTGCTAAAAATAAACAAACATTACAGAAACATGATACTTTTATTGGAACACCCTATTGGATGGCTCCTGAAGTGGTTTTATGTGAAACTTTTAGGGATAATCCTTACGATTTTAAAGTAGATATTTGGTCTTTAGGCATAACACTTATAGAATTAGCACAAATGGAACCTCCAAACCATGAAATGTCTCCTATGCGTGTATTACTTAAAATACAAAAATCTGATCCTCCTAAATTAGAACAACCTTCTAAATGGTCTAAGAATTTTAATGACTTTGTAGCACTTGCTCTTATAAAAGATCCAATTCAAAGACCAACTGCAGATGATCTTCTTAAAGTAATGTTTTTAGTATGATAATATATATTTAATTTTTTTTTTTAAATTTGAACTTTTTTTTTTTAGCATCCATTTGTCAATGGAAATATAGATTCAAAACCAATCCGAGATTTATTACTTGAATATAAAGCTGAGGTGGTTGAAGAAGAGGTTGTAGATGAAGAACCTGAGGTAAAAATGTATTTATTTACTAAATTATCTAGCTTAAATCAAGCACTGTTGTGTGTATCTATTATATAATTGTAAATACATTTTCTTATAATTTGATTCCTTGTGTACGCATTCATTTATATTTACATTGACATAAATTAAATGTATTCACATATTTATTTCCATGCTTACGTAGTCTACACGTGATAGGAAGTACAGAAAAAACAGGAACCATTATCAAAGGGTTGGTGGTAAGTTATCCTAACCCTTGTGTGCACAGTCCATTTATATATTTCATTTTTGGTTGAGCATGTCCACTAAATAAAATATTATTTTGTTTAATAAAGTTAATATAATATTAAAAGATACAATACAATGTTGAATAAATATTTTAATATAGTACAATTTTATAGGAATCGCCTCAATCTACTCGGTTACCTCCCCTGGACTTGGATGCAGTCGAAGATGACACCGTATCTCTTAAAAGTGAACCTGATACTAAAGGTAAAAATAAAAAAATATGAATAAATCTTATAGTATTAAATTTAATATTAATATGCTTTGTATTTTTTTAATTGCATAACATTTTGTTATTTGTAAAATATGATTTTTTCAAGCAGATGTAGTTGAAATAAAACCAAAAATACAAAAGAAACGAGAGATGGATGAAGATTCATCAGACAATAAAAAAATCAAAACAGATGAAAAAATCTTGAATGTTCCAGATTCTGAATCAATTATTTCTTCAAAGAAAAATGTATGTTCATATATGTATATATTTAATATTGTATATTTTTAACTATTAGTTAGTTATTTAAATTAATATATTAAACTGTACTAATTTTTTATTAAGACTTAGTATAGTAATTTATATTTAGAATTTTTAGTTAAAATAACTTATTTAATTGTTTAGGTGGTAAAAAAACATTCTGAAAACAAAGGTCCAGCACCACCACCACCGCCTCTACCACCGCCATCGCCTCTACCACCACCATCTTCAGTTGTTAAATTAGCATTAAATAAAGAATCACCAAATTTACCAATTGAATTGACTGTTCAAGAATCTAATCAAGACAAAGAAACAGAATCAGTGACTAAACCTGAAGAACTTGAAGTTTCAAAATTAAAGAATAATAATAATAATAATAATAATAATTCAGAAATAAACGATTCTATTAACAATAATTCTGAAATTGAGAAACAGCCTATTGATATTGGCAATGAGAACCATTCTGTATCTACTGAACCAATACAATTACGCAAACATGATAAATCTAGTTCTAGACCTATATCAGTAGCTGCTTGTAATAATGGTCCAATTGTAAACTCTATCGAAGACTCTCAAATAAGAATTAGAAGAAGAAGTTCATCTGCTTCTAATCGCAATCAAAGAAGACCTTCTCCTCCATCATTGGATAAAGTTTTACAAATGAATCAAAATGTCGAAAAAAATAAAGGAAAGATGCCAACTGCTGTTATGAATGAATTAGCTGGGAGACTTCAAAATAACAAAGATGAGACTGATCTAATACCAGATAATGGTAAATAATTATATTGTTTTATTAAAAAATAAAAATAAAAACCAATACTTTGATTTTAGATAATTTAATTATTTTTAATGTTATAATTTTAGTTGAACAAAATGAAAATTCCATTAATGGAGGTACATTGGTGAGAGTGGGATCTTTGAACGTTATTGATTCTAAAGTTACTGTTGTAACTACCACACATCCACCTGTTCTTCAAACACATCCTCCAGGACTACATACTCAAGTGATTATAGTTGCTGATGCCAACACTAAATCACAGGTATAATATTTAAAATTAAATAACTTCCAATTTGCATTATTTAAATAATTTTTCATTCATATTTTATTTCAAGATTGAGAAAAAAGATGAGGTTGTGGTGATAAATTCGTCACAAGCTGATGAAGAAGAATTAGATGCTAGTCATGTGTCTGTTATAACAGTAGGAGAAGAACCTTCTGTTAAAGAATTAAGTCCGTGGAAAGATGAAGAAATTGTAGTGTCTAAACCTATTTGTGTACCAGTAAATTCAGATTCAGATACTAATAAAATAAAAATGAACGGACGTGCTACAATGGTAAAGCCCAATGATCCAACAGAAGTATTCATTGTTGTTAATAATTCAACTAATGTACATAAATCGGTAATTATTAAAAAAAAAAAAAATTAAAGTTAGTATTAACTAAGGAGAAAATTGTATAACATTTAATCTTTTTTTTAGTCAAAACATTCAGATGGAATAGTAGTAAATAATAAACACCATGTTTCTCCAACACGTTCTACATCTCATTCACATTCAGATAGTGGATCAGTATATAGTAGTGGAGGCCAACGAACTCCACCTTCAGCTGCCAGTACTCGTACATTTGATAGATCAGATGCAGAAAGTGTTTCAACTACAATAAGTCATGATAGTCGAAGTAGTAATAAAGAGAATAATTTACCTCCTCGAGAATACGAAGATGAAGTTGTATTACGTAAAAAACCAGAGTATAGCAGAGTAAGTATTAATTTATAAGTAGATTTTATACCAGCATTTTGTTGACTTGGTCGTACTAACACTTACCGTGGCACATTTTACATTTAAAAAAATTAATTATACTGTTATTGTAACATCTTTATTTTAAAGCGAGTTAAAAACATTTTAAATAATTAAATAACTCATAATTTGCTTTAAAAATAATATACAAAAATTCTATAAAAAGCTAGGGATACTATTCTTGCTTATACATTGAATGAAATAAGGTCAATTTGCTTTAATTTTGAAAAAAAAAAATTAAACAAAATAAATTTTTGTGTACATAAAATTTATTTTTCATGTTCTTTATAGTAATGATAACACATTTGGGTATGACATCTTCTTAATGCCTTAAAAAATAGATAACAAAATTTAATAAAGCTACAAATATCCATAATTTTATCATTTTTATAGCTTTTATTTTGTTCCATGTTATGTGTTATTCAATTTTGTATTTCTTATATTTATTATCAATATTTAAAGAAATTTTCTTTTTATCATAACATTATTTATTTTCCATCTTAAAATATAACAGAATTACTTACTTTATATTTGGATTTCCCAAATAAGTAGTTATCCAGGTGTTTTTAGAAAATTTCTCATAGATTATTACAAATATTTTGAATAGAGAGACCAAATGTATATATATAGTTGTAGTTTTAATGTAAATATTATTTTACATTTTTATACAATAAATCAACATTTTTAAAAACTAGAACCAATTAATAAGATCTAACATAGTAATGAAGTGCTGTCATTTTGTGATATGATTATAATTATTTTCTGATATCAGATTATTTCACATGTGATCTAAATTTTCATATATTATTTATTTGTAAGATTAATCTTCATTATTTGTGGTTCTGTATATATGTATATATAAAAATACATTTATAATACAAATAATGTGACAACATAAAGCTTGACAATTATTTTAAGTTTGATACTATTAAATTTATAAAATATTAATTTATCAAGCATTTCTTTTTTTTTATATTCCTATAAGTAAACCAAAATTTTATTAACTAATTAAAAATTCTTTGATATTTTTATGTTTTCCAGGTTAGGTTAGGTTAGTTTAAGTTAACCTAGGTCAACCTTTTCATTAATCTGATAATCCTGTTAATTTTAATTTTATTATGCATCTCTTTTTTCCTTAAAAACTTTATAAAATTGTTTAATTAATTAGTGTTATACTAAAAATTTGTAAATAATTTTTAGGAAATGAAAAGAACTAGTCGAAATATAAGTAAAGAAGAACTGGAAATAAGAAACATGAAAAAAAAGACCAGAAAACGTACAAGAAAATTTGAAGTAGATGGAGTAGTTGTTACAACAACAACTAGTAAAGTAATTTATGGTGATGAAGACTCCAGTCATGGATACAATGATCAGATATTTAGAAAACAAGAATTAAGAGAACTTAAGATGTTGCAAAAACAAGAACAAAAACAGTTTCAAGATTTATCATTTAAAGCAGTTATAGCTAAAGAGCAACAGGATAAAAAATTTGAACAGGAAAGAATGGCATTAATTAAACAATACGAAGCTGATTTAGATACAATGGTTAAGCAGCAACGTCAAGCTGTTGAAAGAGCTGAAACTCAGCAAGAGGCAGATTTAAGAATGACTTCAAAAAAAATTCGTTTAGAACAAGTAATATCTATATTAAAATTTATATAATTTTTGTGCTTTATTTATTATTTAAAATTCGTTAATAATTTAGGAGCGAGAATTAAAAGAATTCAGAGAAGGTCTAAAACAAGAGTTACGTCTGTTAAAGCAAGAAGTAGATTTAAAGCCTAAAGAAAGGCGGAAAAATTTGTTTAAAGATAAAAAAGAGAAGTTAGAGACTGAACATGAGGAGAGAGAAAAATTATTCCTCGAGAAACTAAATGAAAATCATGAAAGTTCCTTGAGTAGACTGAGTGATGCTCATCAGGAGAAAATTGCGCTTATGGAACGTCAATATTTACAGCAGAAACAACAGGTATAAATATTTAGAAATAATAGTTATAGTTAATAGTTGTTTATTCTGTATTTTTATTTAAGTTAATGTATATATAATTTTATTATTAAATTTAAGTTTAAACATTTTTCTTATAATATTATAGTTGATGAGAGCTAGAGAAGCAGCTTTGTGGGAAATGGAAGAAAGACAAATTCATGAAAAACAACAATTAGCTAAAAGACAGCTTAAAGATGGCTTTTTCTTGCAGAGGCATCAAGTATATTTATAATTGACTTACATTAAATTTCTATAATTAATGATATATGTTTTTTTTTCAGATGTTAATAAGGCATGAAAAAGAATTGGAACAGATGAAACGTATGAATATACGCAAAGATGAAGAAATGCAAAAACGTCAAGGTGTTGAAAAACGATCACTACCAAAACGTATTCGTTCTGAAATGAAAGCGCGGGAGATGATGTTCCGTGAATCTGTTAGAATAAGTATGGCATCTAATCCAAACCCAGATACTGAGTATGAACGTAATAGGCTTAAGAAATTTCAAGAAAATGAAAAAAAAAGATATCGCAATGAAACACTTGCATTTGAAATGAAACAGCAGCGACAGCTTGAAGAGCTTAGAATTGCAAATGACACTACTATTAGAGAACTTGAACAGCTTCAAAATGAAAAACGTATTACTTCAATTATTATTATTTTTTAAATCCTATTTGTTTTAATAATCTAATTTTTAACAATAGGTAAAATGCTAATGGAACATGAAACAACTAAGTTAAAAGAGCAAGAAGAGTTGTATGCTCGCGAATTGAGAGAATGGAAAGCTCATCTCAAACCTAGGAAACAGGTAATTTTCTTAAAGTATTACATTTATTTACATTCTTATGTATAGAAAAGTTAGTATTTAAATATAATATTTTATTTTTTATGCCAATGGATGTAGTATCTTGAGTTTGAATTATCTTATTAATAACTAGTTATTTGCTGTAGTAGATTATTTAAATGGCAATTTTACACTTAATATATTAGTAATCTTATTTAATTATCTTAACCACTTATAAATAACTATTAATTTTTGACCAATTGTAGAAAAAGAATAGGGTAGTTTGACATCTAAATTTAAACATCATCCAAAATAGTTTATATTTTTTATCAGAACCTTGAAATGGAGTTGGCGAGGCAAGCCAAAGGAAATTCATGGAACAGTCGCTATTCATTGCCTCCGTCCCCTGGCAACACGTTGCTCAGACGTGAATATTCGTTTTCATCACTTCTCTCTTCTCCTCGATTGTCCGGTACTTCTTTTCGTTCTCCTGGTTCAGGATTTCTTCCTAGACGATGTGCCAATCAATTTCCTAATCATTCAAACCAATCCACAATGTAAAATTCCTGTATACTGAATGAGCTCTAACTAAAAGGTGGCATTTGAACAAAATTTTTAGTACTATTCCAAATGGTTTACATGTCATCATTTGGTTTTTTAGAAAGTGTGTTCCTAACCTGTTTTATGTTATTCCATGTATTAAGTATATTTTAATTTAAAATAGATTTATTTTAACAAACATTGTTCTTTAAATATAAATCAGAATATTTATATCATCTTAGATACAATAAATTATTTTTGTGGATTATGTGTTGTACATATATAGATTGAATAAGTATATCACTGGCACATGTCATAAATATTTAAAAAAAATTACTTTTAACAATATACATTTTATTTTTAATATATAAAATAAATTTTCTTATAAATACTTAATATTTATTTTTGTTATAATTAGTCTCTAATACATTATTTTAATTTTATAATACAAAAATATATCTCAATGATTTACCAATTGTTATACTTTTTTTACTTAAAAACTTAGACTTTAAGTAGTAAGTTTATAAGGCTCAAAGAACCTTTAAATTTTTTTATCCAATTAATTGAGTTCATTCTAAAATGAGATTTTCTTAAATGCTATCTATTTTTTGTAATATTTATTACAAAAAGATTTCTTCTTTACTATTCAAAATATGATAATTAATACAGTTATTTTCAATACTTAGTATTTAATATTATATGCTATTACGTTATAATGTATTTACTGTTATGTATTTTTTACTTTCATTTAAAATTTAATAATTTTCTAAATCTATTTACTAAATCAAAATTTAAAGACTGACATGATATGTTTTTAATTATTACCTATCAGGTTAAACTTAAGTTACAAAGTGGTAAATCATCAAGGTATTATAGTTGTATAAAAAGTAGGAAATAATTTTAAGCATGACAAAGAACAAAACTTTGCTTAGTATTCAACACAAATTATACATTTGAACCACATTATTGCATTTATTATTATTATTATTTATTTGCACTGAATATGCTTATTTTAATGGTTATAGAAGTTAATTTTGAGCTTTTCTTTGTATAATTTTTTATTGTGTACTATAAATTCTATATTTTGTTATTATTTTTAAACAATGACACTAACTGACTATTCTGATATTTTGTATATATTATTTAAGTTATTATAATCCATATGATAACACTATAAATTGAATGAAAAACACGCTTAATTTATTTTTGCATCCTTTTATCCTTGCTTATCCTTGAGTGCTGCTGCAATATAAAAACTTTATGTAAGTAACACTGTATATTAATTTAATTTTAAACTATTAATGCATGTTTTAATATTTATTTCTAAGAATTGTTTTTATTTCATATCAATTTTTATCTCGCATAATATCAGTTAAAACAAATATTTTATATAGCTTGAAAAATAATATTAATTTAACAACTGTTAAAACCTAAACAATGATCAATTTTATATTATAAAATAGATTACATTTTATTATCCATCTATTAGTTTTTTCTTCTATCTAGTATAAATTTAATATGGAAAGAGGTATGCGTCATTTACTACCAACCATTTTACTACACTTTCAAATTATTTTTCAGAAACTTGAAGAGCAGTTTGCTATTCAGTTAGAAGAACAAGAAGCAATATTTGGGCCGGCAAATAGTATGTTGCCAATTAACACTAGTCCTCCTTCTCATCATCGTTCTTATCATCATAGAAGCTCTACTCGCAGTAGTCTGTCATCTATGTCAGCTGATTGATTCATCTGTACATACCATTATGTACTATATATTTATTTTTTGTTGAATTTTTTTAGACATATGTGCCAACATTGCCCTCATCCCTTGTTGCTATCATAATACAATGTATATTTCATTATTCTTAAAAATATTAAGTTTTGTATACCAAATGAAGTTAATGTGTGTATATATATATATATATATATATATATATATATATATATACTATTTATAGATCATTTTTTAAGAGTATATGATACAATTTGTTTTTTTATAAATTCATGCAATTATTAATTTGCAAATTAAACAAATTCATTGTTGTAAAATAAAAAACTGTTAAATTTTTTATTTTATTTAATAAAACAAAATTATATAAAAACGTAGAATATTCTAATTATTCATAAATTCAAAAAAACCATCAATAATAGTTATAAAGATTACATAAGTTTTTTTTTTTTTATTAATATTTACAACACGTACAAAAATACATTTAAGGATTGGTTTGTATTTTTGTAAAAACATTCAAACACAGTTATTAATTTAGACGAGTTTTTTAGCTTCAAAGAAACTTTTTAAATGACGCATTTGCCAGAAACCCATGACTAAAAGTATGAACAACTGTGAAAGTGACCACCAGAAAACTCGTTGGTGAGTACTTTCACTGGTTTGACGAAATCTTTCTTCCCGAAACTGTAAATATAAAAATTGTTATTATATTAATATTATATTAAAATAAACTAAAATAGTTTATAAGTTATAATTGAGTATAAAACAAATCAGAAATAAATATATTATGTTCATAAAGTGTTGAAAAATGTAGTATTTATAACAAACAAAAATAATTAAATTCTGTTATTTATATTTAATGGCAATTTGGATGTCCAAATTAATTTTGTACTTATCTATATCAATACATAACTTTATTATGATAATGATATTATTTTAACACCTTTACACAATGCTAGTTTCATACATCTTAATATATATATATATAAATATATATGTATGATTTTAGGGTGGTTATTTCCCAAAAACATAACAAATATCAATAATTCACTAATTCCTAATCAATTTAAGTTAAATACGAATAACCAATTTCTACCTCAGGAAAGTTGATGAAAAAATACACAATCTACATACATTCTTATTTTTATATTTTAAGTTGTGTAATACAATTAGTGTATACATGATAAGTTTTGCTAATCATAGTTTCATATAAGATGTAATGATACTTAACATGTTCTTACGTGGGAAATTGAAATATAAGTATGAGCTAAATAGAGAAATAGAAATTATAAAACATATTTGTGGATATCACATCATTGTAATAATAGAATAAATTTAGATTCTTAATTTATTCAACTTTGAAAATTGACAATAGATCTTAATAGTGTAATTGTAATTGATACATAGACAATTTAATAACTAATTTTTAAAAATTTCAGCCTTGATACATAAAGAGATACATCGTTATATTTGTATTTTCACTTAGACACATGTGCAAAATAGATAAAACATATCCACAGAAAATGTTTAGCTCTAAACTTTTATTTTTAAATAAAATCACCTAAAACAAAAATTATAAAGAACAATATTTAAGAAAGTTTGATATATTAGTTGTATACTGTATTGTTATTTTGATTAAAAAAAAAAATGGAAATTATAAAAATTTGATGATACCATTTGTTTAAATTAATTGAATCATCTTAATTATTAATTTTTATAATTTTTATGATGGGTAAATTTACGATTAAGATAACTTAAAAATATAAATGATCCTAGAAAAAACTGTGTGCTAACATACTTTAAAATAATCATCTAATTTTGAATACCAATAAATTAAAATTATAATGGTACAATTTATTCATATAAGTATACATATAGAGAAAAAGAATATTAATTTTGAATTGAGGGGGATATCAAACATACTCTTCATAAAAAAAATCCTTTAAAACCCTTTTGATGAATTTAGTCAAGTAGTCTAATCAAATTTTTAAAATAATGATATAGATTAGCTCTATAATTTGGTAGAGAATTTCTAAATAACTATTAAATGGTTTATTTTTCAACTATTAAACTAGCAATTGATTTTAAAATTTCCAAATTTCAACTATCTAATTCTAAAAATAACTTTTAAAAATCAATAAAAATAATAATATTTACTCTTTGATAGCTTTGTTCCTTGATGATCTGTTCAACTTGTTCTACAAGTTGCCTAATCCTGAGTTGTAAGTCTGAAAGTTTTTCTTTTTGGGCTACTTGAGCATAATCAATGGCCTGATCACCAACTTGAATATCCAAATGAACTCTCTATTTATAATAAAACTGATAAATAGTAACAAAAATATAATAATATACTAATTATTTACCAATTGTGTTCCTCCAATCCATGCAGTTGTATTGGAATACAAACATATAATATGTTCACCGGGTATGTGAGATGTAAACGAAATTTTTCCTTCAAAACTATAAACCTTTTAGAGACAAAATATTGTTGTTATATTACAATAAAAAAATTTTATTTTGTACAATATTTAGCTAATAGGTATCATACATACCCGGGATAAAATTATTTTCATATCTGGGTCTTTGACTTCGACGTTCATTCCAATACCTGGGGTGGGTGGAGTGAAACCTCCAGTCCTCACATCGAATAATTCTACTTTATAATGTGCTGTAAACCAATTGAGAACAATGAAAAAATACTAATATCTAGTTGCATAAAAAATTGATTCATTTAATGATACACTAAAATTGAAAAGATCAATAATAGATCATTAAGTAATATTTAAGCTGACAATTGATTCATTAAATGTTTAGTGATTGTTATACAACTTGGTATAAACGTGCAATGTGAGTATTTAAAAGTTACTAACAAACTACTGTGGTTTCATCTGGAATTTCTTCGATGAAACATTTGCGTTCTGTTTCACCAATATGGAAATATAAACATTGAACTGAACCCAAAAAAAACGCACTAAGCAATAAAAAGGAAAAGTATTTCATTTTTTTTAAACTTTAAACCTTGACATCAAATTAGAATAGAATAATAATTTAACTTTATTTGAATAAAACAAGATAGATAATGTGTAATAATTAATAAATTAAGTTTATACACTTTTACAGAAATTATAATTTCGGCGGTGTGTAAGCTATGAACATAGAAACAATATTGGTCGTCGAGCAACAATGAATACACGTCATTAAATTATTTTTCGTTTATAACATTTAATAGTTGATAATGTTAGGTACACATTGTATTAATCTCTTACATTGATAAGAATATTATCAGAATAATATTAATTATTAATAATATTATGGTTGTTTAGGGTGGTAAATGCATAGAAACGGGTAGCATATAACTTAAAAGCATAGTGTATATTGTTACTTGTTAGATAACCCTATGCAAATTTAAAGAAGTATAAAAGCTTTTAATGTTTTAGTTTTAATTGATTTAACATGTGCTGCCTTAGAAAATTATTATAAACAGATTAAGAGAATTTTTAGGTAGTAGAAATGCATCGTCCAGGTTTTTTCTACAAAAAATTATTAAAAAAAAAAGATGATTAATCAAGAGAGTGATGAT